CAGGATGTCTGTGTGCTTTATAGCCCATTCAGAAGGCAGCAAAGAATAAAATATAACTAGCTCGTTTCTTCCACCTTGCTTAATTCAGCACTTCCATTAGGCAATAAAAGTCTTGTGTTTTGTGGCAGAAACTGGGGTACTCACAGGGTGTGCAGCCTGATTAAAGTGTCTGTTATCATAACAGAGTGTTTAGCAGCCAAATATTTCTACTGTACTAAGAAATTAAGAGTGAGAGTAGGAGTGTACTGCTGTGTGCATAGGCATTTGCCTGCGTATAAGAGTTCCATCTCAAATATTTGCTCTCCATGTAGAACCATCACGTTTCCATCCCCTAATGTGGTAAATATGGGCTCTGCAATCTGTGTGTTAACTTATAGATCATATGTAGAGGGAGAGGGGATGATGTTTAAACAGTTATAGACACCATGCCTCAGCTGGAATGAATAAATGGGATAGCTGGAGGTAGGTTCCCTATTCCTGCTGGAGAACCCAGTGTGCCCTCGCACACAAGAGGAAAGCAGAGTTTTTGATAGAAGGAGTCAAAGCTCATGTGCTGACTGAGCAGGACCAGCCACCACACAGGGTAACCTTCCACCCTTAGAAGAACATGGATGAGAGGTAAGCAGTGTCAGAAGGGTGGCAGCACTGACTGTGCTTCTTTAATATGCACTGGGAGATGGGGCTCCTGCTGTGCCACATAGTTCTGTTTTATGTGTCACACCAGTACCTGTCTAGAATGGAAAGTTTTTTAAATCTGGTGAAGAAAAAAAATTACTCCAGGCAATCCAGCTTCAAAGAACATATTCCACCACCCTTGGAAACATTCCTGTCTTGAAGTCATGTGTCTCTGATTGATTCCAAGAGTGTATTGTATATTCCAGAGCATGGGCTTGCTCTTCCCCTTCTGTGTTTTGGAAGGATTATTTTATTGCACATAACGACAAAGCTGCAAAAGTCAGTGGAGGTAGGAAATGACTTGTGATTGCTGAGGCTCTTTGAGGACCTTGTGAAGCTCAGCTGCCATCCTGGACTAGATACCACAGAAGGGAAATGCCTGTGGGGGTTCCGATTCTTATGTCGCTTTGTTTTCAGCAATGTAATCGTAGTGCATCTGCCTTTGTGTTTATTAGTGTTGAAAATTGCCACTGAGGTGCATTTATAGCTGTGGGTTTGGCCTTGTTCTGCCAAATGTGACTCCAACTGATTGCACTGTATCTTTTCCCCTCCCTCCTGTTAAGTTCTTTCTTGCTTCTACACAAATAGAGACGAGTTGGACTCAATGATCCTTGTGGGTCCCTTCCAACTCAGCATACTCTGTGATTCTGTGAGTTTGTTTTCCCTCAGTTAGTGAGTTAAAGACAAAAACCTGTGTTTTATGAGGCTAGAGAGAAGCTGCACCACCTGTAACTGGCTGATGGTTGCCTTTTTTTGGTCAGAAATAACCTAAAATGGTCACAAGGGCTGGTCCTTCCACCAAACACCCTTCTGCATGTTATGTTAATAACCAACCACATGCTCCCTTTTAGGGAATATTCCTTGTGCCTGCCAGTGGCCTCTGTGGTGTCATGACTAGCAGACAAGCTTGGAAAAGCTCTGGTAGCATTGGCAGACAAGCAACTGGTCACGGAGCTAAAGCAGCGGCCCCTAAATGGAGGGTCTGCAGTGTGAGCTCATAAGTGGTGTTCATGTCTCTGCTGTTTACCTCGCCTGGGAGCAGCACTAAGCAGCTCAGATCCCCTGAAAGGGCGACCTATAATTAGCCTAATTGGCCACTGGATGTCAGTATCTTGCCACAGAAATGGAACTGACTCTCACTGAGTGCCGTCTGACTTTTCAGGTTGTAGATGTTTCAGGGGGTTATCCAAGCTGATTCAAGTTTTTAGGTTTTGGGTTTGTTTTTTTTTCTCCATAGTAATAACTTCATAAAATACTAATTATACCTTCCCAACCCAATCAATGTCTTGTGAAATATGGCTTGAGACAATAACTAAGTAGTGTTTGAATGGCCCAGAAAACTGTTGGAACTTCTCTTAGAGTCAAATGTGCTGGTGAGAAGTTAGAAACAAGGAAAAAAACCCCACAGTTGGAGACATTACTGAGCTGATTTAGAGCTGGTCTGTAGGTATACACTGAATTTTTTTGCTTTGATTGCTACCTCCCATATTAACCAAGTAAAACCTTCTCCCATGCAGCACCATTTTACCTGGACCTTTTGCAAGTCAAAAGCAGAGAGAGACAACAGTATTTCTTGGTTAGTTTTCCCTCTCCTAAAAAAAAAAAAAAAAAGGAACAAAGGAAAAGAGAAAAAGAAAAAAAAAAGTAAAAGCAAAGCAAGAGGGGGATATAGGACTCTCCAGTCCCACAGATTCATGTATTTTTAATCTATAATCTTCAGTGAGCATAAAGGCAATTTTCTAAGGGTGCATAGCAGATATGTTTTGCAGGACTTACAAAAGGGGATATTTCCCTTTCAGGCATCACATGGTTGCAGGTGCAGAGAGAGTCAAAGTTATCACTGGGGCACTTCCAGACAGGTGTGAGACACAAGTTCTGGGGAATGTCCTGCTATACAAAACATCTCAGGTGCTAAGGAGGATTAGATGAGGTGTTTTGGAGTGTTCTCTGAAGTTTAGCAGCCTCATGCTGCTGAGTGCAATTTGAGATTTGGAGAATTAAAAACTCACTTGTACATTGTACGTTTTCACTGGGATGAAATTGAGCTCAGCTTGCAAAAAAAAAAAAAAAGTTGTTCTTACAGTTTTTTCCCCTTAGGACTAGTGACTGCAGGAGCTGGATACCAACCAAAATGGAAACTAACCAAATTGCCTCTGTGCCCAGCTCTGCTCTGATTGAAGTCAGCAGTAGACAAATTAGACTGGAAATTATCATTTGGGGGAAAATAGACTATGGCAGACAGTACATTCCTTCCCATAACCTCTCTGAAAAGCATCTTTCAGAAATAACTTTCATTGGCAGTTTTCTACATGAACTATATACTGCCTATGCTAAAAATACACATTAACAAACAGTATATTCAGCATATGGTGACTGACTTGCAATACTCAACATGTGTTTATTGTTAGAATTGTAGTGGAAGACTGAACAAATGAGCTAATTAAAGATATCGGTGGTTTGGGGGCTTTTTGTGTGTGCTGTTTTTTGCCTGCATGTAACATCCACAGAGCTGACAGAAAAGCCAGGCTGGAAAAGCAGATTTCCCCCCTAGAGCAGGAGTTACTGTAGCTCTTCCCAAGTCTGATGTCACTTGATTTTCTTGGTCCTAAGATCATGACACTAACCTCGTTTTCAGTTTAACAGTTTTCCTTTGTGTCCCTTCAGTACTTGTTTCCAAACAGCATGATGTCCTAACTTTCCACTTTTTCTTTACCATGTGTTACAAAATAAACAATACCAGTCATTCATTTGTAGAGAGCATCACGGGAATGCTATGCAGCCCTCTGTTAAGGATAACAGTGGCAGCCACGGCTCTCCGATCAGCGGGAAGCTGGAAGGCATCTTCTTTAGCTGCAACACTGAGTTTAACACTGGGAAGCCGCCACAAGATTCCCCGTACGGAAGATACAGGTATGAGATTGCAGCTGAAAAACTCTTCAACCCAAATACTAACTTGTACTTTGGAGACTTCTACTGCATGTACACAGCCTACCACTACGTCATCCTCGTGATCGCCCCCGTGGGGTCACCGGGAGATGAGTTCTGTAAGCAGCGCCTTCCTCAGCTAAATATAAAAGATAATAAATTTCTGACCTGTGACGAAGAAGACGGTGTCATGGTTTACCATCACGCCCAGGATGTTATTTTGGAAGTAATTTACACCGATCCTGTGGATCTGTCCCTCGGCACAGTTGCGGAAATTACCGGTCACCAACTAATGAGCTTGTCTACCGCAAACGCAAAGAAAGATCCCAGCTGCAAGACCTGCAATATCAGTGTTGGACGTTAAAACTTCCCTCGTTCCTTAGGAGCCTTCCAACCTCTGTTGCCCATGTCCATAGTCAGACGTTTCTGTCGGAAGCATGCACATGCTGCTCTCACCAAAAGCAAACACGAGTCTTCAAAATCTCCAATAGCGTTCTTAGTATTTCTTCTCTCCCTCTTTCCCTTCTGTTGCCCCGATGCTTTAAATGATTAGAAGCCCTGGGTTTCTTTCTGGCAACCATTTATCCCTAGATGCTGCAAAAATTGTTTTCTGTTTCTTGCCAAACATAACAAAATCCTATATAAACTGCTTTAGCAAAATAAAAATAACGGCTTATAAATGGTGTTTAAATATGCATTCATTTTAACTACTGAACAAGTACTGGGATAACTCTGAACAGCATGAAAGGTTGTAATTGCAGCATGATTTGAATTTCAGAGCCTAGAGATGTCAGCACTTCCAATGTGTTGTTTGACAGTGTTATTTATGTTATTTATATTAGCTAACTGAAAACAGAAACTGTGTCTTGACATAATAAATATAATAGAAAAATATTTTATTTGTACTGTTGTATAAAATATTATACAATCATATAGAATATATAGATTACATTTTAATATCAATTGTATACATATATCATTAAATCATTTTCCCTTATCAAAGATGTAGTTTGTAAACTTCAAATAGCTCTGTATCTGTTCCTGTTGCTCTAGATGACTTCAATTAAAACAGATTTATGAAGACCATTTCTGATTCATAAAAGTTAAGTTATAAATTATTAAGTCAGTACACTGAAACAACCAACCGTCTGCGAAATAAAAAATTCCTTTTTTAGTGTTCATATTTTTTCCTCCAAACTACTTGAAGATGTGTCCATCTTCAAAATCATGCCATTACACGCAAGATAAGTACAAACGTGGTTGGTAGATAATAGGCTTTATAAAATCAAAATCTTCTTACCAAGATAGAAAACAGATTGCTTATACTATGTGGTCAATACAAAATGACAGTTAAAGCAAAACACTAAACATGATTCAACTTACTCAAGTCCCTTTTTCTCTCTTTAATTAATTCTTCCCTCCTTTATGTCTGGGCTAGGTATTTCCCAGAATCCCCCTGCTTTTCATTTCTAATACAAAACCTGCTGATAATCCTTCTGTTAACAGTCCACTTTTCACACCAATGCTCTATCACAAAGAGTGACAAATTCTTCTTAATAATACAAAGTGTGGTGCTCTGAAAGTTAAGAAATATGCATAATTCCAATGGAAAAATAACTTTTTATAATCTTATTTTCAGTAAACAAGAAGTCTAGCAGTCCTCATCAGATAACTGTGACACTCACTTACATACCATGTACTTTACCTATCCAAAATATCTTAGCATAATGCAATAATCTAGTCCTGTTTTAATATATATATATATATGTGGCAATTTATAACACAAGAAGTACTTCAACATTTTACAAAGTGCATGCGTCTAAACGAGCTTTGGTAGTCAGAAAAGCGAATGTTATAGCATCAGGCAAAACAAAGTGCAAAGTTTCGTACAGAAATCAAAATTAGCATGTAGTTAGTTGATCTATTTATTAAGTTCTGTGAGCCAGGTCCTGTGAACTAGTGAAAAGGACAGCAGCCGGTACATTTGGTCTCTCTCTTCCCAGTAACCTCTATTTTTTTCTCTTATCTCTAAAAAACCAATAGTTCCATTTGGCCATCATGTTCTGTCCTTTTTTTTTTTTGCATAAGCAGCATCACTGTGCTCTACTCCCTGGCACTGGTTTTTTTCTATGCACCTTTTTTTGAAGCTACTGGAATTGAATGCCAACTCTGTCTTGAAAGCCAGAGTACGTCTGGAGTTTTCCCTTAATTTGTTTTAATTCATTTCCTTTAATCAGCACATTGAGAGCCGTCATTAATAGTTAATTCTAGTGCATGTTAATTCTGGAAACAAACGTAGTACATTATCATGTACTAAGATGTACTAAAAACCTGGAGAGCATTTCCTCACACTTTTAGAGCAGGTCAAACTGAGGAGCTACAACACTTCAGTGTCCTTTTCATTTCTTAATATTCTCACAGTGCACTTCAAGGCTTTTTCAAAAGGAAAAATATATACTATAGTCCACTCACCTGTGCTTAATATTCTTGCATATTGCTGTCCTCTCTCATCCCAGCTATTATAATTGGTAAAGTGCATCAAAAATCTCAGTGTGTCAAGTAATTGTGCAGCAGACCAAGACCTGTAAAATTACTTTATCTTTTTCATTACTTGTTTTTTTTTGCTAGAGAACAATATCACAGCATTGCATTCACTTCAAATCGTTTTGGAAATATCATGCTTACTGATGAGAACCTCCAGGAGCCTGATTTTGGCTTTTGTGTGCTTGTATTCGGAGTATTCCTCGGCCATTGGCACCCGATCTTCTTTTTGAGGACTCCTATGAAAAGCAGATAACAGTGCCATCACTTTTATGAGTAAGAGGAGAAAATGTCTTTAAAATTAATTCTGCAACAACTAATGAGAATTGGATTTTTTTTTTTTTTACTAACTGTAAACGACTAAAGATAATTTGACAGGACCAAAAAGCTCTAATAGGCAGAAATTAAATAGTATTATTTAAAATAATGAATTTTCATATGGCAGAAGATTTTCTTTCTTGACAACTGTACAAGCATAATCACTTGATTCTCACATGTGCAGAGAAGTTACAACATAGTGCTTTGAAAACTGTTACCAGTTACCACTGCCCATAACCTCCACAGTTTTCAAGAAAAAGGTTTGCTAAATGGAGGAGGAAAAGCAAAGAGTGAAAAGTACCTGGTATTTAATTATGGGTGAAAGAAACAGTGGCTTCTGTTTTTAAAACCTGGCCTTTTAAAAATGGCCCAACTGCCAAGTGTAATTCCTGCAGATTGACACCCTCACAAAGAGTCTTTTAGCAGCTTCCCTTCAGCTCAGGGAGGATCCTGTGCTGAGATGGGGGTTATACCAATTGCAAGTGTGACCTGGAAAATCCCCAGCCCCAAGCCATCCTCAGGGATGACCATATCCTGCAGGAACTAAGTAGGGAGATAGATGGACACCTCCACGGTATTTTCCAGTCCCCAGCTGCAGCCTCTTTGTCCTGCTCAGCCCCGAGTGCCCACCCTGGCAGAAACAAACACCCCTGCAGAGGACCCAGAGGGAACAGGAGAGGGCTTTTGCTGAGCTGGTGAGTTACCTTCCTGTCTGTTTGTAGAATTGCTCCTCAAACTCTCTCAGAGCTTTGCGAAGCCTTTTCTTATCAGCTCTCGTTTCTCTGAGATGTTCGAGCAGAACGGGCCTGTAAGACAGAGACAAGAACATGGGACCCCCTCATGCTGGGAAGTGTCAAAACCGTGGCTTTGGGTAACAGAGCCCCATGGGCTGGGCCATGGCAGGCACTGAGCTCAGTGCCCGAGACGTTCCACCACACCCCTCCAACGATACACGGCTGTGCTCCTCCCCTTCTACTGGTACTCTCACCCTTCTAGTAAAGTGAAGGCAGACACTCTGTGGTCAACATGGGAGGAAAAGCATTCAGAACTGAGTCTTGCTAGTGGCCTTAATTCTCTGTGGAATTAATGGAGTTGACACAGCTCAGCATCGCACAGGAGGAAATGCTTTGCATCTCTTTTAACTGAATTAAAATCAACATCCAAGCCCTGCTCATGTTTGCAGCTGTTACCAATCATTACTGTGATGCAGTGGAAATGCCAGTGGTTCCCAGAAGCATCGTTTTTGGAGGCCATGTTTTAGCTAGTGTTCAGAGAATAAGGTTTTTAAGCAGAGAAAGAACTCTGTGATGGCATTTGCACCTGGTAATTATTGGGGTTTTGCATAACAACAAAATCCACAGAAATATCTTCCCAGCATTTGTGAGCAAACTATTGCACACAGAGTTCATTTACATAGAAATCTAAGTAATTTTTATTTATTCTCAATTTTGGTAAAGCCTAGTTAGCTTCCTTTATGCATCTAAGAACTCCCAATCAAAACACAAGAAAAAGATACCATCCCCTAAGCTATGAGAACATATCTGTTCCTGGAAGGCATAGTCCTCAACAAGTTTCTTGACGGAGTGATAACAGCATATGGGCATCTTGAGATTTGTTGTCTCATGCAATCTGAAATTCTTAACTACAAATCATAAGGAGGGCTTTATTTTGGTTTTGCAATGGAGGGTGGTGGTAAGTTTTCAGAGCAGTCAGGCACTAATAACTAGGCTTAGGCAAGGCATAAATTGATTTTACATGCATTCAGTGGCCTCCCATGTGACCAGTTGCTGTATGACCTTTCATGCAGCTCCCCTGTTGCTGTCTGGATGCCTGAGGTCACTGGCATTTTTATGTCACTCACACAGTCAGTCCCAATACACACACAGAGAAGCAGACTATTGTCCAGTTTTATGACAACTTTGTAAGAACATAAGTAGTTAGATAGCTACAAATTTTGCAGCAGTTAAAGGTAGGTCTGCATATCTCTATGATGCCATCATGTCGTATCTACCACGCTGTCTTTATTTCTCTTATCTGCTTACTTTCCTTTACCTTGCTCTTCCTGGACTTGGCACAAAGTTGTTTGAATAAATAGCTCAAACCACAGGTATGCTGCCCAAACAACAAATCTGCTCTGCCTCTTCTCTCACATAAGAAAATGCTGAATCACTCCTTTGGTGTAGAATATCCCTGTGTAACAGGTATGGCTCATGTTTCATTTACAAAGTCTACATGAAACATTTTAAAAATACAAGGGAAAAACGTGGGAACTTACATTGTTGCCTCGTGTAAATTGGACATAGACAAGGCTGTTTGCCTGTAAACTTTCTTTTCATCCAGAGGTGAGGCATGTGCAGGCTCACTCTCCTCCTGAGAGTAACACAGGTGCTCTTCAACCGGGAAGCAAGACATTGGACCAGATGACAACTCATGGCTGCTTTGAGAATGGTCTTCATCTGAGTCTTCCTCCTCCTGCTTGTGAAATGTGAGGCATTATTTAATTAATTGTTTAAATTGGAACACTCACAGTTCATAGGATGACAACAAAAAGAATTAGGATCTAACTTCCTGGATGTATTCCTTGCAATAGGTTACACACATTGAAAGCTTTACCCAGGTAAATCTTGGTAATCTTTATCGAGATTGTTCATGAAAGCACTCGTGGGGTCACTGGGTAACTGAGTATTGCCTACCATGAGTATAAAGGACAGAAGCTGGCCCTGCTTCTGAGTATCCCCATCCAGCAATTTATTTCTGTTTGCTCTAAAGCCCTTCTATGTAGCAAAGATGTAACTAACATTCTGTATTTATTTCAGCAGTACAGTCTGGCTGGAACTTGTACTCCTCTTATATACCATCTACTGTGTGCATTGTGTCCAGAAATTCTGACTGTAACAAGGGTTGTAAGGAGAGATTCCACAGTTTTATAGCTACAAACTTTAACTACCAAAATAGGTGATTACTGCTGTCTTCCTTACATTCCTCCATCCTCAGAAGAAAAGCTGAGCTATTCAAACTGAGGCTTAAATATAAAACTTCCATGGGGCAAAGCTCCTACAAAGTAACGCAAGGGAGAATTTCAGTTACATTTGCTAATACCTCTGTGCATGTGTACAAAGCTTTATACTGGGATTTTTCAGAGAAATCTGAAGCTCCACTCTCATCTAACAAGACAATAATAATTTTTAAAATCGACCTAGCTCCAATGACTATTAGATTAGTATTTATGATAGACACGCTAATTAACTTTGAAGTAGCCAGATGCCACTACCTTTACTGCCCATGCGACCAGCACTGTTACATTACAGTGATATATTATTAAAGTATTACTAATATTTATATGCTCTATGATTGATAAATCATTGTCAATAAGTTACAGAAGCAAGACACAGTGACAGCAGAGATCTTCATGAAGAGAGAGCTTTCCTTCTGTGTTGCAAGTGTTAGCCATGATGGAAAAGTAATGCCAGCCTTTGTCTCTTACCCAGGCCATTGAGGTACAGCCTCAGAAACTGCTGCCATAAATTGCACCCTGTGACATGCCTAGAAGCTGAATTTTACAGAGCATTTGCTCTATTTGAAATATCAACACCCTGTATTAACCAGTGAGCAGATTTTTTAAATATCAGTAGTTGTATTGCTGCCAAACGGACATACAGGTACAAATCAAGCATGGCATTTTCTATGTGTTTTTTTTTTTACAATGGATATGAATTCTTTCCAACTTACAATTGTTGTGATCAAAGATGGAGCTGCAAGAAGTTTCTTGATAATTCTGTATCTGTCGTAAAGAGGTTTCATGAGACTCTTTTCTTGCTTAGTGACCTAAAGAGAAATCATAACAAAATGTAGTCCTCCAAAATTAAAAATAAAAGGTAAGTTAAAAAGATTCTCATTTGCTCCTGTAAAGCTGAGAAAGGTATTAGAAGAATATGACCAGATGTGTATTTTGCTTCCACAGATATTCCATGGGCACTGTAATTTAATTCATACAATTCCCATAAAGGAAAATGGCAATCTGTTTTCTAATGGAGAATACCCAATGTGGTTTCCTCACTTCCTGGAGCCATACCAGCCAGGCAGAGGGGATATTATTCCCTTTCTGAGGATGCTGGTGGAGCAGTAAGAGTTAAGATACACTGCTACTGTGCCTTGCATTGGTATCTCACTCAGCTGTAAGAATAGCAACAGGCTCCCTGCAGGAATGTGACAGTCTGCCTGGGACAATATGCTCATAGACTCAGTGGGATGGAGAGCACCAGGAACACAGCTTTACAGCCTCCACATGGAGCTGGCTCCATGCAGGATTGCTGCATGCATTCCTCACTGGAACTGCCTTCCACAAACAGGATTAGCTGTCTGTTCATTTAGTTTGCTCTTGGTCTTTTATGAGCGCTAGATGCATTGATTTGGAAGAGAGTATGATTTAAATTCAGCTGTTAAGAGCCTGATCAAGCCACAAATATTCACCAATACAAAAATAAACCTTATGGAAACTAGCTGTGCAGTAGACTGACTTACTGTACTAAGGAAAAAAGAGTGAATTCCACAAGGAAAAAAACAAGACAAAAAAGGCCTCAACCAACCAAACAACCCCCATCATCCCCAGAAAAAACAACATGTTCCTCAGTGATTAAATGCCAAAGCAGGGTCATTTGCAAGCTAGTCCACCATCAGCCTCTGCTCCTCAACTCCCATGCCTATGAGCTCTCTCTGCATACAGTGCCACTGATTTCTGGCACAGTGAAGCCGAGGTCCACCCACTCAGATGAGTGAACACACAGCAGCTCTGAAGAGACACAGACTGACTGACAGTGCAGACAGTAGTCCAGAGCTGCTCAGAAACAGCCAAATGCCTGGTCAGCGGAGTAAGGGTGACAGACAAACACAGGGTGGTGACACCACGTATTTCTGGCTCACTGAGTAGCTGGGGACCATTTCTAGAGGCACATTTATTTCACTGCAGAATGTCACTCCTAGTGAGTCCACTTCTCTTCCCCAGTCGTCATGTCCCATTTGATTACAACCCATAAGAGTGGCTCCTGGGAATGCCAAAGAGCCAGAATAGATCATTTTTCATTTGAAACCTGGTCAGTGCCCTCTCTGTCTGACCTTGTTAAGGTAAGTCTGGATGATAGTGATTCTGAGCCATACTATACATCAATCAGCAGGGCAATCATCATCCCCAGTGTGCTCTGCTGTGTTTCAAGGCTGCTCTTACAGAGCTGCTTCAACCTTGAGAAGAAACACCCTCTCTGAACTCCATGCTATAAAACGTGCCCTATCATTCCCTTTTTTGAATCAAGTCTCTTTTATGTCTATATAGCACTAATAATTTCTTTTTTGTTCTCCTTCTTAGGAAGTATAATTTCTTCATACCCTCTCCATCCCTCAGCTCTCATTCCAAGCCCAAAGAAGATGAACAAAAATGGTTTTATCCAAGATGCAGAGATAATTTTAACAGCTGGCATATTTTTGGACACATGCTGGTGCTGCTCCCCTTTTCCTCTACCACTGGAATTACTAGCCAGAAACAGAGACAGTCATAAGAACACAAACATAGATATCAAACAGAAATTCCACAGTTGTGTATAGACAAATTTTCAAGTCATCATCTCACCAATGGTGGAATTTTTTTTTTGGTTTGCACCTACATTCAGGAATTAAGTCCCTTGAAAGGATTTTAATTAATAGTTTTAACTGCTGCTGTGTAGTAAAGGAAAAAACACGAGACAGGTCATGTCATTTTGTAGTTCATGTCTTAGATGGTGCCCTATACAAAACCTTTCTCAGCTGCTAAGCACTCTAACCATGCATCATAGCAGAGCCAAGGATGCATGAGCCAGGTCTGCTGTGGAGACATCATCTCCCAGCTTTATCATCAAATCCTGCATTTTCCAATCATGAAGAGAGATAAAAAGATCCTCTTTTTATTTTAGTTTATTTTTCTAACATATAAACCACATTCATCAGTATCAGGCAATAACATTGATACCTGAAAATTAGTTTGAAATAACTAAAATTATGTTGTGTAAAATTCATCTGAATATATTTAATATACAAGCCCAAAAATATTTGTTAGATAAGTTAGATAATTTTTAATGTACCTATCTTTCCATGGCATACTTACAGGTTCTCCATGAATACTCTCAAAATACAGTAGACATTTCTGAAGATTGATTTTTTCCAAAGCCATTTGCTTTTTTGTCATATCCTATTTAAAAGAGTTATTTATAAGATTATGAGTCAGGATTTCATGACGAGGGTACAGGTACATATCTGTTTAATAATCTGCTCTGCCCAGATAAACATTAATAATGAATCCTCTTTCTGCCTGCATTGAGGTCAATGGGGACTTGGCATTAACTTAGCAAGAGCAGAGTCCAAAATTATATGACTGAATCTTTAAATAAATCAAAGGACATGTTACTCTCTCAAGGCCTAATGCAGAGCTGATGGCAGCTATGGAGATACTTCTACTGACTGGAGTAGTCTTTCTGTCAGGCTTTTACCAGTGGAAAATACACTGTATTTGCTTTGGCTGCCAAAGGGGAGCCTTTGGAGCCTGAACTTGTGCTCTGTCTTACGGAGAAAGATGCATAAATGAAAGTTCACTGAAAGCCTGGAATCTTATTTTTCTTAACTGTCATACATCTAACACTTGATTGCCTTGGTTTCTCTCAAAATTACTATTCCACCAAAGCAATTTAACAAGCTCAAGGCCAGGAAGTGCTATTAGGCTACTGATGGAACACTGCATTCCTTATCTGGAAGGTTCCAAAGGTAAAACCATGGTCTTAGTCAGTAAAGTGAGAATCTTCACGTGATGCTCAGAGTCTGCATTCAAAAAAAATTTCCTGAGAACACCATTTGACAGAGGCACTGAGGAAGCAGGGTTTTTAGCTGGAATATCTCAGCCAAGTTGCATGGACATGGGGTGTGTGTCATGGGTGGGGTTTTGGAAAGGCGGGCTCATAAAAGATGACAGCAGCACGTGAGCAGAAGGTGTTGGCAAATGAGGTCCCACAGGTACCCTCGCAGAACTTTCTTAGAACAATTTGGGTAACATTAATGAATAATTATTGTGACTGAAAAACTAAAGAAATGTTTTTCCTCATCCATCTTATGGAGAAATCAGAAAATAATGTTGTTAACTTCCATTTGCCAGTTCAGTTCATAAATAGCATTCCCTGTTATATATTAAGTATGTTCAGTTGCAACAAATGAGAACAGCCACCATTCTGCTCAAAATACTCAGAAACTTGCAAAAATACAGAGAGGATTTTTCAGCTTTTTTTCCCTCAACTTTTTAATTATTCATCAAAAAAGAGAAATGGATTTGCCTTGGCTGGTAAGGGGTATAGAAGAGAAAGCTTCAGCAATGCAAACCCAACCTGTTTGTGGAGTGGAGTGATAGATTCACAATGAAATCCCTAAATATTCAACCATCATGATACTATGATGAACACCCTCTAAATGCTGGGGCTACTAGGAAAAGGTACTGTCTGTAAAATGAAATGGAAGAAGACTGCCCACGTAGCAGGAAGTTCTGGCTGGACAGTGTGCATTGGTAGAACCGCTGTGGGGGAGCTGCAGAAAGTGCATCTCACACTGGCAGTTTATTTCTGTTCAAAAATCACAATACAGATCACTGGTAGCAGAAGAATGTTGATTTTTCAACAATGCAATTTGTCAGTGTTGGTGACACACCAGTACATGTACAGGTGTCTGCTGCAGGGAGCACACAGTGCAGTGGGTATTTATCTCCTCTTTTCCCTTTTCCCCTCTTCCCAACAAGATCTGCTCCCAAACACCAAGGAGCTAAATGTCATTTTCCACAGTCTGCCAGATCATGACAGAGCTGTATGAATCAGGGCCAAGTGTCCAAAGGTTTGGAGGAGATGAAGTAATGGAAGGAAGCATGGAGCTGGGGACACACAGCGTGCCTTTCCGCAGAAATTCAATGACTAAGGTTTTTCTACTGATGATTTGGAGAAATATTTTTACTAATTAAACTCTATTTTTAAAAATATATTAAGCCCTGAAGAAGTAGCACTCTTGTGATACCAGAGTGCCTTGCTATTAACTTCAGCAGGAGCAAAACCTTTTTTGTTTGCTCCTCAAATGCAGAGCCACTAATCAGAACTGCTAATCACATTTTGCCTAAAAGGTCTGCATGAGTTAATCACTCTAAAATTGTCATTCATTTTAAGAGATGAGCTGCTAACTAGAATGCAGGAGTATTATAAATTAGCTAATTTGTTTATTTATTGCTAGTTCTGCAATTAATACAAGGTTAATTCTTTCAAAAACTATTAAGCCCAGAGCAGCTGAATGGTTAGGAAGAAACGGGGAGTGATCATTAATATTGATTTATCACACAGCAAATGATCTCCAGGGGGTTTAGCATTTGACTCTATTTCATTAGCTCATTTTATTAGCCATCTCAAGACAGGTTTGTATTCGGCTAAATTTGAAATGGCTGATAATTTCAAAATCAGAGCAGGCAGGTGAAATCACAAACTACAGAATTGTCTGAGACATCTTAGGACTGTAGGCTGAATACACCAGTGGAAAATCCAATGCTAATTAAATAAAAACACTGCTTCATAGCCAAGGAGAATATGAACAGAAGTAGGTCAATAATGAGAAGACAGATACATAAAGTGAACCAGTCTGAGAAACGCCTTGGGGGACAGACTGCAAACATTCAAACTAAACATAAGGCAAAAATTGTTTGTGGCATATAAAGAAAGAAAAAGGAGACTTCACCTAAAGCTAAGTAGTTTGGTTTTCATAACTTGGAACAGAGAGCTGTACACAGTTGATTTCCTTACTAGTCTGTCCCCTGCATTGCCAACATCTCTCGTTGTTGTTTATACAGACAGAAAATACAAACTGAGGACAGAAGGACAGACAGTGTGACAGCAAGGGCTGGACCTGCCTGGGGCCTCTCAAAAGAGGTGCTTTGTTTCCAGGCAGACACAGAGTCCAGGTTCCCAGGGCCGAAGTCTGCCTCTTGGGGATGTGTGGTGGCTCATTGCAAAGCAGCCTTTTACACAGAAGTAGAAAGAAGGTGAATTATTACATAAACCACCATCTCCCTGCACAAGGAGCTGGTGACACAAACAGTGAGAGGTGGCCATCCCCTTGTGGGTTACTGAGCCATTCACAGGCCAATCCCAATTTTCTCTACACCTTCTCATTTAATAACTTCACTCACAGGCTCTTTTGCAGGAGGGATGTTTTGTTCTGGAAACCACATTCTGCTATTTTGTATTCAGGTCTTGTGGTCTGAGCTCTTTAGAAACACTGGGATTTTACTCTGCACCTCTCTGAAGGACACACATTCTCTCATTTCTATTTCAACAGGGCCTTAGATGCTTTCCACAGCAGAACTTCAGGGGACAACTTGGCAGGCTTTTATAGAAATACCATCCTTGCCCAAAATAACTAAATATTGAAAAAAAGAGAAACATTTAGCTGCTATTTACTATACTAATAATGTGGCTCAGATTGTTCTACAAGATCTAAATGTTATATACAAGATAAAATGTTGCACATAAAAAATATCTACAGTAACTGCAAACTTGTGTGTAGCTGAGATGAAGCCTTTGATCTTTGCTGGAACCATTAAATATCCTCGATTCATTTCACATCTCCAAATGCTATAAACCTCATTCTCCCCCAGAAGTCCAGGATGAGTCATAATCAAAATCCAATATTTTTTAATGTTATACTTGGGGAGCTACTAAAATATATAATTTTGAAATAGATCAATTTGATTTCATGTTATTCCTACTCAAACTTCTGTTCCCCAGCAGCTTGGTGTAACTATTACTAAACACCTTTGCTAACAAACAGTTCTCTCAACACAAGTTCTCTCCACAAGACTACAAGAAGAAAATAAATAAGACCTCTTAAAGAGGTCTTGTTGTGCAAACATTTAATTTCCATTACTCTTTTCTCTGTGAGAATATTTCAAGACAGCACTGCCATTGCACAGATTTAGGATGTCCTCTTGGAAAATCAGGAAAAGTCCAATAAATTGAAAAATTAAGGGAACAGAAACCCACACCCAGCTTACTCTTATAAGAGTTTTTTGGACAGAATTTCCTCACTGACATCTGTTTTGGTGTCATCTGATCTCACTCCTTGCATAATAAAAAACAATTTAAAAACTGAAAATATTATCCTACAGTCTGCACTGTGGGAATTTTAGGACTATATACGGAACAGCATGGGTTTGTTGTCTTCTTTTGTTTTCTGGTTATGAAACACTTTTTCCATTTCAGGTTTTTAAAAAGTAGCATATAAAAAGAAACAATTTAAAAATCAGTCATGTATACAGAGCTCAAGATCTCAGACGCATGGCATTGTTATGCACAGTTCTGGTTTTTATATAGCAACTAGTTGTTTAAGAACTAAGAATAGAAGCAAAACAAAAATTAAAAATTATCTCTGCTGGGTACTCTCTGATACTGAAATCCACCCAGAATAATTTCTTAGTTCTCACATAGTTTAGCATTTAGTTCTTCATCCCTCCTTGCCCCCCTTGTCCCCTTTTTTGTTCACCAGCTAGAGTCTAAATGCTACTGTCAATGTTTAGATTTTAGATACTTTTGAGGGCAGAATTTATTGCCTTGCTTGGTTCTACAGCATCAGAACAGCAACATCACTGGACAGCAAAAATAGCCCCCCCGAAAAGTATTTTTATGGGTGGGATGTTCTGCTTCAGACAACCCTACAGTGTGCTGAGAACAGGAAGGTGCAGCAAAACTTTAAAATATGTAGTAGCTCAAAACCAAAATTAATTACCCAGCCAAGCAATCATGTCTAATGGAATATTGCTCCTAACTGAGAACATGGAAGAGCAGAGACAGCATCAGCACAAGTAAACGTACAAGATCAGAAGGGCAAAGCTGTCTGGATGGTTGTGCTCTCCTCATGACCTCAGACCATCGACTGGGCAGAGGCTTTCAGCATCTCTCAGGTGAGAGAGGACCTTTATGATCAAAAGGACTTCAGGAAGGTTTTTAGTCACGCAGTTTCTGGGGGCTGAAGATGGGATTGCTTTTGCTGTCACCATCTTCGCCACATGGGGATACGCAGCCTCAAGTAGGCAGGTTCTAGCAGTGCCTGGCAAACTGTTCTACACAGGCACCTCTGAGCAAAAGGTGCTTAGCTCTACTTGAAAAAGCCTTCTGCAACTCTTTGTCTGAGAAACTCTTCTCAGAGAGATCACTTCAGGAACTGCACTAGAGCTCCCATCTCATTAGAGAGAAGTTGCACTGCAGTGCCAGACGACAGAGGATGCACACACCCCCTGAGACAGCTACACACTAATAACCTGCCTCAGGTGATAAAGTCCTGAAGGAAACAGCCATGCTTGTTAAATACCTTAATAGTCTCAGGAAGGTGAAAGTGTTGTCTCTTCTCCTTCAGCCGCCTCAATACGCTATCCATGGTTTCTTCCACTGAGGGAGCTGGTTCCATGCTCGTGGCCTCCTGTGTGCCAGCCTCTTTAGAGGTCCCAGTGCTTTCACAATGGTCATTTCTTTGGGGTGCTGTGGAGGTGCAGTTTTGCTCTTCTGTAATTCTGAGTTTCAGTTCTGAAAGGCAAATTACATGGCAAGATTAGAAAAGATTAGAAATATTTGCAAAGCAGTTTCCTCTGATGCTACCAGAACAAACAAACAAACAAACAAACAAACAAACAAACAACAAAACAAAACTTTCCTAGTTTTTGCATACAATTTTCATCATACCACAGAAATATAGGAAAGTAATTCTGCTTCACTTTCACATGTAAATCTTTTACCTGGTTAAAGGGAAATCCAATGGTCAAGTGATGAGATGTGTCCATGACAATGAAATTTATAGCACATGTGTAATTCTCTTTTTCCTCCAAGGTCATCTTTGACACAAAAGGTGAGGACTGAAGAGGCACTGAATTATGGAGTGGGGTCTGGATAGGAATTAGTGCTGAATTTCAGTGGGAGTGAAGTTAAGAAAGGGGCTTAAAAGGAAAAACAGTGAGAAAATATTTATGGGAGGTTAGGTGTGGGGGGAATATGAAGGCAGAGCTCTCTCATTCCCCTCCTTCTCCTCGCTAAGCCTGTGTACTCTCTGGATAAGTAAGAACATGCCTGTGCCTGGTGTGGGCATTGCTGTCCAAGGATGCATCTTTCACAGACACCTTCCCAAGCCAGAGCAGTGTCTCTGCAGCATCTGCTCCCCTCTCACCCGAGCTGGGCTTCTCTGCCCTCCTGTGCTGCTGCACAAGGGAGGAGGAGAATGAGAAGGGCTGGGAGGGCCAAGCTGTGCCACAGAGCCCTCCATGCCAGGCTGCTGGAGTACCCAGGTCTGGATAACCAACATTGCTCTCCAGTGCAATTTAAACCGTCCACCTCCCTTCCAGAGACTGCACTGCCCTAAGCCAGGCTCAGGTGGAGAAACAGCCACTTCCCTTGCCAGAAGAGCATCTGAGCAACCCAGAAGACAGACAGGTTACAGTGTGTCCAAGCCTCCCAGTCAGCAACCTGCCTGGATGTGATAAAGTGTGCGAGTATATTAGCTTGACACCAAGCCAAAGACCCTGAAGCTCCAGAGACCTGCACAGAGCAACGAGGAAATTGAATTGCAATCTGAATTATCTCCTGTAAAATCAGACTTTGTTCATAGCGCACATCTGGCTGGTGCAGCACCTTGGGCAAGGCAGGAGATTGATGGCTCCACATGTGTTAAATTTGTTGAAATCCATGCAGAAGCAGTAATAAAATTTTTTAGCTGTGACAGTCTGAGGATATAGGCCAGCTTGTTAGGGAAAATCAGTATTTTTTAGTAAACCCACAGAGCCAGAAAGGATGGACAAGCCTCATGAACTTGGAGAAGGACCTAAGAAGCACCTGAGTGTTTTCCATTTCAGTTGTACTTGTCATGTTAATCTCATGAATCTCGCTTCACTTAAAAGCAGTGCCATTATTCAGGATAATAAAATCAAGGGTTGTCACAGGATTAAGCATTTTAGGTGTGAAGGTGAGGCTGATCTATGAACACTAGACCCCTGGCTAGGAGAAGCAATGGTTGAGTCAGAAAGATAATTTCCAGAAAGTTAACTATGTAGATCAGCCATTTCTTCTCACTTTTATTTCCTGGATTTGTAACACAAAGTTCAAGGAAAAACAACAACAACAAAAATAATAATCATAACGATGATGATGAAATCTTACAGGATAGTACTCAAGGGAGAATTTTCCAGAAGAAATTTACTGAAAGACGGGTTTCTAATTCTTTACTTACCACAATCACAGCCTCTATATCTACATTATTAACTACATCCAGAACAGAGATGAAAGATAGTACCACAATTTATCTAGTAGTGAGAATCCATTTATAACAGGGGAAAAAAAAGATTTAGATAAATTATAAATAGCCTTAAGAAAAAAATCAATCTGTCTTGGCTACATTCTCCCTGAGGGAAAGCATGTGATACACCCCTAGACGTTAATGGAGTGGTTCGCAGACAGTCAAGGGCAAAACCTGACCCTCAAGACCAAATCTAATACCAAGGAAAGATCTGTTCTTATGATCAAAATAAATAAAATCTTTAGAGATGAATATCCTCAGTCGTAAAGAAACAGTTGCACCTACATATGTGCCGTTACAAGGAAAGTTTTAACTTCTCTATTTCAGGCACTCATGAAAATATCCAAAATAGCACTGCCTTTTGCATGAATGTTTATAGTGATAAGGGAGAGACGGTGTCTTTTTCCCCTTCCCCTTTCTAGCCTTGCTATGAAGGTTGAACTGGCTTACTTTAATCCCTGCTTTCAGGAATCAAGGCAAGTCATATCCCCTAATATCTCTGTTGCCTTTGAAAGCCTTATTGGCATGCACTGTGAAAAATAAGCAGAGCAGTGATGTTAGACAACTGACTCTAAAATATTCCAGGTACGCTCCTACTTCCAAAAGCTTCAGCAATAAAGGGAAAGCGACGTTCTATTATTATTATTATGTACCTTTGAGCTGCTTCCGACCCTTGGCCAAAGCATTCATCCATTTCAGAACTTCAGGATTGGAAGTCTTGTCACCATGGGAAGGCTGAATGCAAAGACAAATGTAAAGAATGTAAAGAAACAGAAGGAATTGAGAGTTAAGTGATCAAACAGACAAAAAACCCTTTGTGCTCCAAAACGCCCGTAGTTCCCACTGCACGGTGTCACGGGGCCATGCAGAGCACTTGGCTTGATCGTGGCATTAATTTGTCATGACTTATCTGTGCCCCACTGTGGCACAGTGCTACATGGATCTGGGTGTTTTGTCTCTGATCCTAAAAAAGACCCAACAACATTTAAGTCTCTGACTAATCGGGTAAATAACCTCAGAGACTTCAAAAGGATTGATCAAATACCCAATTTTAGTCAAGTTCCTAAGTGATTTCCAGGATGGTAACTGAAGCTCTCTGTCCCTTGCAGGGATAAGCCCTTGCTTTAAGACACGGATTCTGCTGGGAAACAGCACTTAAAAAATTTCCACTGACCTGCTTAAATAATCAAAGGAAAAAATCCTGTGCTAGAGTCATCTCAAAAGTAGCAAACAACTAAATATATATCAGTTCTTTCTTTGCATTTAGAAATTGTCTCCAAGTTTAAATCATTTTACACTGGATCTTCAAAACTCAAGATATTTAAAATGGCATAACAGTTTTGCAAAATTAAGCCTCTAAAATATTTTTTTTTTCCTGGTCACAGTGTAAGGATTATGTATAAAATTTTTCTCCTGGGATCATATGATGACCACTGGGCCATACAATTCACAAGTTTAAGTTTTCAGTCACCAATGGGATTACAAGGTAATATGTAATTAATTTTAATATGGTCAGAAAATATCACAAACTTCCCTATTTCATATTGTACACATTCTTTGATATGTTTAAGCTGCACAATTCACACCAGCTCGATATGAACAATCCTGCACAGAGGGCACAGCGCTCACCACTGACCTCAAACAACCCCCCATAAGTTTTATTTCTCTTAATTTCTGCCATCAGCTTCTGTTGAGCCCCACACTTTGGAGGTTTACAGGAGTCTGCCTGAAAGAAGGAATCTGCACAGAGGAGCAACAGTTTCCAAGCAAATGAGTTCTACAAAGTGAATAAGTAGCTTTTCATCTTTTTTTTTTTTCATTTTTTGCATCATTTTGGTTCACAAGCCTGTCAGCTACATTTCACTGCTTCACACTTCTCAAAGATGAATATTTTGCAACAAAGGTAATCCAAAGAAAATGTAAATTAGAGTCTCAGAACTACTGCTTACACTGGAAGATGCTAAAAAGATATTCCCTCATTGAAGTTTTTCCCATTTCATTTTACTAAAAATACCCTTTCTTGTATTGTTTTGCATAGGTTTAAATACACTGGGATCCTTGCCTCCCTCTTTTTTTTCAATTATTATCTTACCAGGTATTTTTTTTCTTGCTCAAACTTTTCTTCATACTTCCTAATTTTTCTCTTGAGGCTCTGCAAATGCTTGGTAAGTTGTGTTACTGTCTGTGGTTCTTTGCAGTCTTCACAGTTACATCTGGAAGAACTTCTTGGCCTGCAAAAGCCAAAAAAAAATAGTTGCTGGATCTAAGAACTGGCTATAATGGCCCTTGCCTTTTTTCAGGCACACTTTAACCCTTTCTTAGCACTTCAGAAGTCACAGCTAGGTTGTTTCACAAGATAGAGACAGCTTAGTTTTACAAAGTAAGCATAAAATAATTGCTTTTGCTTTAAGGTAACCCTAGGGTATAATAATGGGTTCACTGTCTGTCTTTCATTCTCTCTTTTTATAATTGTGGGATTTCTGAATATTTTGGAAAAAAAGTTAATCTAGTAAGTCAAACCCTGATCCATTATTTACATTTAACACCCATATCTTAATTCACAAATCTTCCAGCTATAACAGGAGAATGTAATGACATGATTTGCAAAACTAAGTGCAGGGAGTTTTTCATTGCTGGGAATAATCATTATCATTCTAAAGGCAGTTTAGTTTCTGATTATTTACAGTTGCAAATCAACAGATCTGATTATTATCCATATGCAGATGAAGCTGTGTATATGAGCTTTTAAGAAAGTTTGATTTCTCTCTGTAACTCACAGCTTGGTTTCTGGAAATCACATATATGAATAGTTCATATGCTGTTTGACACTGTCACATCCAGTGAATGGCTCAAGCTGTAGTTCAGTTACAGCTGAAATTTTTAGTATTATGCCACTTTGTCTTATCACACTGATTACTAACTGACATTTAAAACTGTCCTTGCTAACTGTAGTTAACAAAGATTTCAAACAATGTCCTCTGTTATGACTGAGGGAACACCAGTTCCTATTTATGGTACTGCAAATTATCCATGTCAAAATATGCCACAATATGAAAAATTTCCTGTTTATGACATGACAGTGACTAAAAAAAAACCCATGAACAGTCAAAGGCTGTGGATTGCAGAAAAAGTTTTAAAGACACATAAGAATTAAAATACATTTTCTTACACCATGAAAGGCTGAGCACTTGGTGGAGAAGGGGCAGACTCTGTGTCTAGATTAAATCTCTGGCTTTGGCTAAAGATAGAGCAGCGTGGTGACAAAAGAGGATTGTCTCCATCTGTAATGTGATACAGCAGTCGACTGGTCCCTAGGGAGTGATGCTCCTGTGGGCTGCTCTCCATGTCGTTCTGCCAGTCTCTGTGGGCTGGCACAGGCTCTGGAAAGAAAGTACAAATCAGTGTGGACCGGGGGTCACTCACAAGGTACTGAGCCACCAAGGTGAATGCAAATCTTTCCTTGCAGAAGGGCTCAAAGTAAACAGCAAACGGTTCAGCAAAGTGTCACATGCAGGATGAACACGGGACCGAGGATGACAGAAGAGAAGTACAGTTACTGGCTTAACCAAAATCATTTTTGAGTTCCACAGGAGAAGCTGGATGGGTGTGTTTATAAATAATGAAGTACAATATAAAGATGGGGAGTTTCCCAGAATGGCAGCACTACCTGTATTTTCACAGATCTGTTTGCTTTTGAGAGCCACATTTCTGGAGTAGATGATGAGTGTGCAAAGTAAGATTAACTTTGTGATTTATCATTTACTGCCTTGGCGAAGAGAAAGGAAGATCAAACATATAATGTGCCCTGATGCTGAGAACCTCCAGGGCTGCTTGCAGATTTTTGTTAAGGTTTGAAGGAACATACCTATGGGTCTAAAGAACACAGGATATGAAAATAGCAACCACCACCAGTAATATTCCAGTTGGTTATTCAAGGTAAGTGGGCAGTGACTGCTGCCTGGAGGAGTCATGCTTGTGATACCGTGTTAACAGTGTCTTGGACTGTGAATGGAACCTCACCCCAGGTGCCTCAAAAGGTAAAACTGTTTTATAGTGGTGATCAAGCTAGAAAAAAGTAGGAATTGGTGAACTTCATCTCACTGGTTCTGTTTATGGGTGACATGAAAACTGATGGGCACATTACAGTGCCTTCCTCCAGGGAATATCCAGAGTTCATCTTCCCTTTGCTGTACATGAGTGCATTAAAGGGAATAATCATTGTATCTTATTCCTCACCCTCAGTAGTTGTGGGTGAGGATGATGTAGCCTAATCCACATTTTTGCTATCAGATGATTGCAATTTAAAGCAGATTACACTTTTTAGGGAGAAACTCCACATTCATAAAAGTCCTTGCCCAAAAATTCTCTGTTTTTGCTTTACAGACAACAAAAAAATCCTACTGTATAATCACAGTTTAGTCTGTCATGCAAAAGTTGCATGTGACCTTTGTATCTATAAACTCACCTACTCCTGGCAGCATCATCAATTATAATTATGTTAAGCATTTTCATGATGAGACAATGTGGCTGATTTTTAATTCCAACCTTGCACTTTTCCTCTAAATACCTCATACTATGAAGGTCAAATTCCACTCTCCAAGGTACCAGAGCAACACCCAAGTCTCCTAAATCATGTGTGAGATTCAAACCCTCCCACAGAGAGATCCAGAAAGGCATCTGGGAGAAGCAAGGGTAGAGAACTGTACAAGCCATGGGAAATCAGGTACTGACAGCACACAGTGATAATGGCTGGAATAATTGCTGTTCTGCAAACAAAAGTGTTATCTCTTTTTGGCAAGTACTGTCTCCTTACCCTGCAAGATTTTTTAAAAAATTATAGTTTTGGTTGGGTTTTGGCCTGCTGTTGTTGCTGGGGCTTTTTTATTCTGAAGATTGTCAGTGAGAAGAACCTGGATTCCTTTCTTTAATTTCACCATCTTTGAACTTCAAGAAATATACAATCACTGTGAAGTGGGTTGACTAAGAATAGTTTCACAGATTTCTCATGCTCTGTTATTATTAGGAATAAATTCTTTTATAGTCATATTAAGTAGCAGTCCCCTCACTGTGAAAGGAAAATGATGTGATAAAAAGATCAGCTGGTCTGTGTATGACAGGTGCAGGAAACAACTTTCCAACATTTGAACTCTGATTTCCTGTGGACCTAGAACTACCCCTCTTGCAGGAGGCTGTGCTGCTGATAAACCATAGGGTCACAGACACTTGCTCCTTTTCACATTTACAACCAGGCGATTTTCCTGGGGCCAACCCAGTCTCAGAAGTGGAAGAAAAGCACACATTCAAGACTGAACACTCCCTGAAGATAAATGCAAAGGACAGGTAGTGGCTGGTGCAGCTCCAGCGTGAAAACACACAAAACTCAAGGAGGTTTTTTTATTCAGAAAAGGAGACAACCTGCATGCCAGATGAATTTGGGAGTATTTCCCAAAGGCCAGGGCACTTCCATTTCCTTGGCACCAGGGCTGTGCACACTGGTGCAACTTTGGTATGGCCCAAGAAGGGCTTTAGTTCCAACCCTACTACAGGTGCATTAAATTACTGCCTCTGTTCATAAGTGGTCAGCAAATAATTCAAACTGAATCATTCACATGGCCTGATTACTGTCATAGTGAAACACCTCGGTGATGACAAGTTCTAACCAACCACATTTTTAATTAAAGCTTAAGGCCATCATCCTGGTTCCAGTTCTGCTTAGATCCTAAACAAGACTCTAAGCATTATCCTGAGAGTAGCCCATGAACTGACCATGTGTTCATGTGTCTGGTCTAATTTTAGCCTCTATTTTTGACAAAACTGAGAATTAAAGCCACCTCTACCCAAGCCAATAAGTTGCCCCTTGGCATCTACTCCATCTCATCTGCTGGACAGGACTTAAAGCCAGCTTTGCTATCTTATGCAATATGTTCATAAGATGGACTTCATATGGCAACAAGTCCTGTGGTACAACTCTGTATTTAAGCCTGTGATATTCTCTAAATAAAACAATATTACACTGAAATCTCTTGTATAGAAAAAATAATATGCATCTGTAATGTGTTCAGCCCTCAACGTGTAACGTCTGTGAATGCTGCTAACCAGGATTTTTAATTTCAAGGCCATTTAGAACTTCTTGTAGTTAGGTTCAGCTGCTCACTGCTCAAGTCATATATTTGATGTGTACTAATATCCAAAAGCTATAGAAATTACACCCTGCTCTTCTCTGTTTTCCCCTTTAGAAAACTAGCTTAGTAACCCCCAGAAATTCTTTATGGTCTTACTTTGGCAGCTCCAATTCTCTTTTTACATATTCAGAAGTAAACTGGAAATCGCTGACTTTGGTCATCTGTTGCTGTTCATCCCCTTAAAATTTGCATCCTGGAATGCCCTGTCATTTTACTAGACTGTTCTCTTTTCATTCACCATACATATGATGCATACCTTTCTAATTTTTGTTGACTGGGATGCAAATGAAAGGATTGTGTTTATTTTGCCTGATTCATCGAGGAAAGGCTAATAACTAGAGACGTAGCATAGATGGCACATTCTCTAAAAACTCTGCCTAGGCTGGTACAAATCTCTGGATTCCATCCAAGTTTGAGCTGAAATAGCCAATAGTCCCATGTGACAACTGCACCTTAACTCAGGGCATCAGAAGCTCTCAGTAGTAATTTAAAAGGCAGAATTAGGGCCAGCTCTGCCTGTGCAAAATGGCAAGTTGCTAAAAATACCACAAACCACAAAGCAGGTTAGCAGGAATGACTGCATGTTAAAACCCATTAAATAGGGAAGCTTTAACTAAAGCAAGAGTTGGAACTGCTGGAGTGACAGAGCATGCTCTGAACTGTGCAAGAGAAATGCTACATCATGCAATATTTCCCCAAGTAGCTGCATATGGGCAAATGGGAGCAGAGAGGGTACTGGAAGTAGAAAATCTAATCAAAACAGCAAAAATAAGTACAGGAAACAATTATGGACCATCTAACAATGAACTATGAAGCCACCAGAACAAAATAATGTGGTAAACTACTGGAAAGGGAGGAAAACCCCACCCTGTCACAAAGGAAAGGGGTCACTGCAGATTTCAGATGAGCTGCAAAATGTCTCTGTGCAGCACACACATGAGACCTGTCTCTGCCTCAGATGCACGCCCAGGCTGGCACCAGCCCAAGTTCCATACCTGTATCCAAGAGCTATTACAGTATTTGCCTTGCTGGGCTAAAGCATTCCTGGTTTGTGGTTTTTTTGGTTTGTTTTTTTTTAGCTAAAACCCAGGACATTTAGCATTTACACATTCCTTCATTTTTACAATAATTTGACTTCTGCATACCTTTTTCCTTAATTTTGCAACGCAAACCTCCAACTTTAGAATTTCTTAAGCAGAACACTATCACTTGTGATTTTATTTTTTTTTTTAGGTAAATAACGTTATTTTCTGCTGAAAATTCTTGAGCAAACAGCTTCTAAAGTAAGTTCTTCTGAACCCAGATTTATTCTGATATGAAACATCAATTGCAAAGGGATTTACTGACCTACCTGCCTTAATTTGAACCACGCATGGTGCACAGTTTAGGTATTTGTGTATTCATGTCACTAGTCTGTGAGATGCATTAGTCATACTCCTTTGACCTATTTTTCACGAGCAGTGACTCCTCTTCTGCTGAGCATCACGACTCTGCCAAGCCCTGGGACTGCAAGCTATGAATTGACAAAAATAGTGCCGAGCCTTGGGGCTGTTTATTTCCATATTGAGGAAAGAGGGAAAGATAACACACCACAGTTTGCCCATATGTGTAATAATACGGGTTCATGAATGATTAAAATCCACATGCTGTACAACTCACCTTCGCTATCTCTCTGCTGATGCATTAAATTAAAATCAATAATAGGAGAAATGAAGTGATATTGCTCTGACAAAAAGAATGACAAAAATAGAATTACATGATATGGCAGGTGATCTCACACAATACAGACATAGGAAGTAAAGAGCGTAAATTTACTTGGAAAAAACCAGCAGATTAAAACTGAAAATAAAAGAGTCAGAATTCTTAAAACCTATCTGAAAAGCAAGACTCTCCCTCAGAAAACCAAAGGGTTACAGCCATTAATTTCTGTCCTTTTTGAGAGGTATCACCCCCTTTTCACATTACACGGCATTTGCGTCAGGAAATGGTGCTTTGCATTAGCTCTGCACCGTTTCCCGGGAGGACTGACTGCAAACCTGATTTTAAACTGCAAGTCACAAGGCTCTTTTATAATTGCAAATGAGAACACACGACGGCGGGACCGCTTACCTCCACCGCCGGCCCCATCAGCCTGCCCGCCGCTCTGCGCTGATGGAGGGGCTGCGTCCTTGGGCGCCGGCAGCTGGGGAGTTTCCTCCTGGCTTGGCAGGAATGCAGAGCACAGCTCGCTTTCCAGGGCTTGCAGCTTCAACAAAGAATTCTGCAGACAAAAGCAGAACATTGGGAATGGATGGAGAACGACAGGGATCGGCAACGGCGCTTCAACTCCCGGAGCCCATGAGCGGTGCCCGCGGAGGGGTGTTCCACCGGCAGCTCCGGGAGGACGGGCAAGGGAACAAACGTGCACTGTTCCACGAGTTTCTTGACTCCTGGTTATTTAAGTCCCAATTTACATGGATTATTCATGACACGTGGGAAAGATGACTTCGTCAGCAAAAGACGATTTATTCTAGGGAGCCAAACTGAGGTGGTGTCCCTTTTCTTGGGCTTGGAGCAATACATTAGGGAAGTATTTCATTCATTGGCCTGACATCACGATCTGATGACATTATGTCCCTCCCCATTTACCATTCATAAAAAAAACAAATCTCCCTCACCAGCTTGTGAGTGCAGTACAGAGCAGTGAACAAAGAGTTACTGAGAACACTGATCCTTGTGGGATCCTTGGAAGAAGTATTTTTTAATTGGCTTTTTTAGAGGCACTTCACTACGTAGACATGGCTTTTGTCTAGGTGCTGCTGATTCTAAAGAGCAGCTGGGTCATTTGCCATCCACTGCAAAGGTAAAATCAACACACCATTGTCACCTGCTGCAGACAAATCAACGAGGACAAGGCTTGTTATCTATCACAGCACTTCCAGCTACTGTGTCACGCTTGGTCCGTTTCTCACTTTAATGCTGCGTGCAGTATTAAACTGTACAACCTGACACAAGCATCTTGCTGTGATGTAAATGCCGTGAAAGCCCTAATCACCATCTGACTGGGCAAAATGAGTCACTACCCCCACGCATTCAGATCCCCTATCTCAAGGGAAATACAGCTTACAACATCATAAAACACAATCACACAAGGCTGTCTGGATAATTAAGCAGCTGCCACACACAGAATATACGTATAACAGTAAGTCACCCAAGTGGTATATATTTATGAAGAGCATTTTCTTAAGAAAATAATAAGAGTTGCAACAGAAAGAAAAATCCTCAAGTTTATGCCCTAAGAAGCGCTTTTCCCCACTCTGAAACCAAAGTATTGATTCATTTAGTGAAAACTGAATTTGTTTATCAGCCTGATTTCCTTTGTGTAACAATGTCACCTATGTAGTCAGTAGTTTAATATGTCTTTGCATTATCTTTATTGTAAGGCAGCCCTTTTATAAACCCAAGGATGACAGTGGCTTTAGGTTAAAAAAACTCCCACCAAACAAGTTTGCCTGAAAACAGCAGGGAAGACTTTCAGCCTTGATCCTTTCATTTCTTTTACAGAATTCAAGAAAATTATGGAAACCTTCTCACCCCCAACAGCTTTCAAATGGCAGCGAATTTCCTTACCAAGGGAAGGGTGCTGACTTGAACAATACCCATGGCACTGTTTTGGGAAGGGTTTTCATGACATGACAGGCCTCGTTTTCCGCTGTCTCTCATCTCAGATAAACCCAAACAAAGTGGCTGTGGAATTGTCAGAGCAGATGGGAAGCATTTTACAGTCATTAATGTCATCTAGCAAAAGATGACTATACCAGTTAAAAACCAGTGAGGACTCTGCTCCCAGCCTGGACCTTGTAATGAGAACAGCTGATGAAAAGTAGGGAGAACACAGATGAACAAACCAGAAGAACATACCAATTAGGAGAACATGAGTGAATGTCTGACAGAAGTACCTAACCTTCAGGGACTGTTACTTCAAGCATTTGACAAGAAAAATCCCCTATCAAGAAAATACATTCACTTTGCATCACTATTTCTTATGATACATTAATATTTATGGGAAGTTCAGTATAAAATCAGTCCCACAGACTACATTGTTAAACATTATACTTCAGCAATGCTTCTGCTGTAATTCACCAGCTGGTTTATATTCAGTTGCTCTAAATGATATTTTTCACCCATCTGGGGAAGGTGGGTGGATGGCAAATTTCCAGTCACTGCCAAACACTAAAAAAATTCATATAATAATAATAATAGAAATAGCTTATATATTTTCATGAATGTACCCTTGACAGGGATTTGATGTACGGAGAGAAAGACTAAGTAGCTTTGATCGTTTTGATGTTGCCAGGGAGACGATGAATTCGGAGTGTGCCATCAACCCCACCTTACTCCTAAACCCCAGCTGAGTCCTGTGGTGCTGCCACAGCACATCACCCATGAAAAGTCACCACATGTTTACGGGAACACACATAAGGAGACATGGCTTTAAGCAAAGGCCAAGCACAAAGCTGCCCAGGGTGAACCAGGCAAAGAAGTGGCTAAACATGTTAGAAGCCAAAACAAACAGCTAAAATACACAGACGGAAGAGTTATGCCTTGGTGAGTACCACCAACAATTTTAGTAAGCTCTTAAATGAAGAACCAGTATGACAGAAGTAATTTAAGCTATGGCATTCTACATCTGCTAACGAACTCAGCTCAAACACTTCAGATTTGATGCTCATTTCAGCTGCCCACTAGTGCCCAACACTAGTGTTTCTTATGCAGCAATTCCTGATCCATGATAATGCAAATGAAAGGACATATTAATATTTAAAATTGATCCTGAAATTTCTTTGGAAAAATAACCATATTGTTGCCTCTTAAGAAGAGTATCCTGAAAGTATTGAAAAAGAAGCAATTGTAATTGTCTTGGACAAAGGCTTCTTATCTCTTCTTATGTCCTCTTAAAGCAGCTGACAGTTCAAAGATCTTGAGCTATGCCAATTCCACTGAAGAAAAAACAAGGTTCACTATTCCAAATAATGGAAAAATAAATACGTTCACAGGAAGCTGGAGGAAAACAGGGAGAGAGACAGTGTAGTGCTAATCACCTGTTTGGTATTTTTGATAATGCTTTAAGAAACCACAGACATTAAAATATCATACCTTTGCCTGCTGGAGAAGGCACAGTACAAAAGGACTGCCATTTGCAGAGGAAGCTCAGCCTGTGGTAAAGACACCATCTCTACAGACAAATAAGCTTGCAGCCTGTACCCCACTGACCATCCCTCCTTCCAACCAATTACTATCAAAAACACAGAGTGGAGGCCTTAGGGCAAGGAATTACTGAGATGGCAGATAATCCCTTACAACTAGAGATGAGCACCACCCGCTGTTAAATCCCTCTGGAGAATGGGACACTGAGAGAACAAATTCTCCCAGTGCATCACCAAAATGCTATGGCAATGAGTGGCAGTGCCCTGAAACAGCCTATAAACTTTTTCTTGGTGGGTGCCATCAGTAACCCCCTCTCCCACTGGGACCTGGCAGGATCAGCACCATGGGACCAGGAGGCCATTCCTGGCCTTAGAAATAACTTCTGTCCCTGACAAAGCACTGCTTTTTATCAGCATCCTTTGTTTTATCCTTGTGCACTTCCTAATGTCTGGTAAATTTAAGAACCAAGGGAAGAGGGAAAGGGAACAGGACTGCCCCAGCCATGAACTCTGCCCAGTCTCAGTCAGGAGCCTGACAGAAGGGACGAGAGGCAAAGCCCAGACTTGGTTCCTTCTGCAAAAAATGTTATCACCCTGACCCTCACACAGTGTTTCTGGACATAAAGGATGCCTGCACCCTGCCCTTGGGCCTGCTCCTGCCCCTCCAGGACACGAAGGCAGCTATTCTATTATATCCAGTTTGTTGATGGATTTACTGGATTTATGAAATCAGCTGGGGCAGAGAAGGAGAATAATCCAAGCTTTCAGCATTTAATGGCCTTTGAAGAGATTCATATAGAAAAGAAACTGAGCAAATTTCAACCTGTTCAGCTTCTTCACTCTGAGGAAATTAATGCTTTTATATGTCACATTGGAACAGCTTTTTAATTCTGAGAGTTCAGGTTAAAATAAGATAGGCATATTTTATGTGAACATAAATAAATCTCTGCAGTATCTGTTATGGCAATATTTGTGTCTTGAGGCATATGACATTTTCAATTCAGAACTTCCTTTATGGGGAACGAACAAGCAACAATAAGATAGAACAAGATATGCCCTGGGTCTGCATAATGCCACGGGTGAGCAGTGAAGAGAGACACCATTTTCTCTAATCCTAGAAGAGAATTTATTTTCTTATGATACATTTCCATGTGGGTTTGCAGGAGATCTGATCTATAGATCTGATGTATAAAACCTAAGATTTGGCAAAAGAAAACACCAGGTTGTAATCCTTGCTCATTCCTCATTGATTATTAATGATTTATTTTAATATCTTATATTTATTTTAATTATCTTTTCTAATCATCTGTTTTAATATCTTACACTGATCTATTTATTATAATATTTTCTCTTAACCTTAAAGTCATCCTTTGCAAGGATTTTACATGGAAGCTTTCAAGTGGAAGCTTTAGTGAATATTTGCAGTGGGGTTTCTCAAAAGAAATGATAATTCATTACTTCCCCCAGGGCCTTAAGTGGCTCGACAGAGGCTGAGTGCACTCCCTCAGATTGGTCACTGAGCAAGCCTTCCTTGTTAGCACTGGGATTTTCAACAGGGAGCTGCACAACAGTGACACAAATGCAAGGGAAATAATTCATTGCAAGGAGAAGATTAAGTCTGAATTCCTTTAAAAGGGCACATTGTGGTTTTCCCCTAATGAAAGTCAGGCGTCTATTAATAGACGCAGATGTTCCCTGGCTCGTTTGGAAAACAAAGCTGTCTTTTCCACGATTTAACAGGAATGGACTTCTCTTCACCCTTACTCTCTTTTCCCGCTGCTTCTGTTGTTCTGTTGTCTCGTTTTGCACTAAAAATGTTTTCTGCTCCTTGTTTAGGTCCAGTATCATCTGCTGCCCCTGCAGGGTGTGGGTGTGCTCTGTCCAGGTGCCCCAGGCTGTGGGAGATGCTTTACAAGGTTTCCCACTTTTGCACAACTGCAAAGCTTGGTTTTACCCCCCCACCCCCCCCAGTATATTGCTGATTGTTAGGACCTAGCCCAGGCTCATCCACTGTTTGATATGATCACACAAACAGCTTTTCTGTGCTCCACTCACACTGTGCTCCTGGCACAATCCATGTGAAAACAGCTTGTTTCAAGTGTCACAGGTGTTACTTTGGCTTTCCTTGCTTCCCCTCTTCAACTCTCCCTTCCTCCCATCTAACAACCAGAGCACCTTTTACACTACATTGTACTGTTCACAGTTTATTTATGCAGGCTGTAGCAACCTTGAGAACTCCTTATTTTTAAACAAAACATATTTAATAGATGAACACTTTTGAGCTGTAATATGAGGAAAAAATCAAATGTTCTTGAAAGATGGCATTTCACACAGTCAATATTGAGCATTTGATTCTTTCCTGAGCAAACAGAAAGCTCCAAGAAGTTGATTTAAAATGTTTTTAAAATCTCTAGCTTCTGGCTTTTAAACTATTATGGCAGTCTCATATAATCTTTTTGAACTATTCTCCAATAACATGACTAGAAAGATTCACTAAAAAGCCAATCCAAGATTCTCAAGCAAGTACATTATTCCAAGACCTTAAAATCAACAAAACCCAAACATCTATTTAAAATTTATAACATCGTATTTCAACTTTTGGTTAAGCTTACCTCATTTAAGCTGTTACATCGATCGGTTGCTTCCTTTGGTGAAATGCTTGTGTTCTGATCTATTCTACAAAACAAAATAAGAACTTTCACTCAATAGATTGCTTATCTGTGCTGCAAATATTTCAGACTTTTTATCATGTCTGTACATAAGTTACAAGTTAAGTTATTTTATTAAAAAATAAACAAACAAACAAAACATTTCTGTGAAAGTTACATCTGTATTTTGTACCTCATTCAAAACAACTGTGATTTTACTGGAATCCTAACTAATATATTTAAATCGTGAATGAAGTCCTGCAAAACCACGACATTACAATGTGGGTTTATTTTGTCATGCAGAAGAAGTTCTACAGAGGCATGATCAGTTCAGTGTCTCGGTGAGCTAATAGGGTTAAAGCCAAGAAAAATCTCAGACATATGCTTAAATCCAAGCACAATTTGTCCCACATGCTTTAAATCAGGAACAAGAGCTTTCCTGTATCAGAGACATAAAGAATAAATCTTCCCATATTTAAATTTGATGGCATTTCAGGCTCCCAATCTTCAATTTTCTGCTTAGGCTCCCTTTTTAAAATTTCACAAAGACCCCAGTGCCTGGAAATCCTGTGAGAGAGACGTCCACATTTTCTAATGAGTGTCACTTTGCAGCCACCAGAGATGTTCATACCTTTGGTTTTCTCTCAGTATATTGCTGCTTCACCACATGGAAATAGGAAAGGAAGGCGCTGGACTGGCAAGGGGGAAATCTCTTCCGTCTGACTGAGGCTAATAAGACAGCTGTGCCCCAGCCAGTCAGATGTGGGCCTGGCCTAAGGTTCCACACACCTACCAGCTTCAGGATTAGTTACCAATTCCTTCCACCAAAGGAAGGAAACTGAAGTCTAGAAAATACTTCTCAGAGAGAATAAGTGAGCAACCTGGGAAGCCTCATCCCACAGCTCTGTCCTTGCCCAAAGCAAGCTGAGGGTTTCCACCCGTGACTTCAAAGCCTGACATGGGTGTATCCCAAGTTAACAACTCAGCTGAAGCAAGAAAACTGTAGCTGTCTCAGAGAATGAGATTTCTCGGTGCTGAAAAGGTGGCGAGGTTTGCTGGCCCCTGTGAGACTCACGCACAGACATGATCAAACCCAACACACACCCAGATTCCTCTGGACAAAACAGTTCATATTTTTCCATGCTCAGAGTCATCCCAGCAAAAACAGACAGTTTTAAAAGTCTCTAGAGACCCCAAAACCGGTACAGACAGATTCACAGATGTTTGTTGTAGTTCTTCGTGGATTTATGTGACATTTAAAGACTGAAATGCTGGATATGCCACTTTCCTTATCAAAACAGACACACTAGGTAGCTACACCAAGGTGAACAATCACTTGCTTTCAAACAGGATCCAAGGTGTGCAGTTCACGTAGGAACAAAAATGAGCCATTTTGGGAAGGGCTCATGCAGCACTGGAATGGGAGGTCTCACAGCCCAGCCAGCCTGCACCTCCCTCAGGCACACAGGTACGGGATCAGATGTGAGTGATTTCTGACAGCACTTGAGCAGCAGGGTGCCTTGGCTGTCTGCTGAACAAGCACCTAACTACACCCCTAATTTAGCTCTTCACATATATATTCTTTGTGCCATCTTGCCTGAAAGGAAATAGCAAATGTCTCCATAATGTGAAGGGAACAGAAGGAAAACGAAATTACAGATGCAAAAAGATTAATGCCTAACAACTAAACCCTGCTTTTAGCCAATGGAGAGGACAGTGGGAGACAGCAGAAGGGAGTTAAAGAAAGCTGAGAAAAACATGGGAACAGCAAAAGGACTAATTTAATAGGAAAGAGTGAAGTATTTGTAGTTTGCTTTAATAACATGTCAGGAGGGTACTGCAAGGTTACAAACAGCTGGAGAACTGATTCACTAATGAAGAAAAATTATTTAGAGTGATTTATTGAATTGAACTAGAGCTAGATGTTAAGGAAAGGATGAAAAGGACACATGTCAGATTTGAACACTTCTGGTATTCATTTGGATGGCTCCTTTCAAGGTGCATAACATAGCAAATGTGAAATCTCCTTAAAAAAAAAAACCAAAATAAATTTTTTAAAGAAACCAAACCAAACCCTAAATGCCAGCAGCAGTTCATACCAGCACTGTATGAAGTTCTACATAATTCACAGCTGTATCACCCATGAGTCTTGCACTCTGGAGATTAAAATGTTTACAGCAGCCATGAAGTACCACCTGCATCTCGTTCAGGTTGATGCCCTTGTCTGCTGGTTTGGGGGTGCATTTAGTCATGCATTTTACTGTTTCTTTTCCACTAAAAATACTGGAGTATGATGCTCTTGGTTTTGTATTCTTTGGATACTGGAGGCACTGAAATCATTAAGGTGAGTGACCATTTTTGTGTGAAGAGCATTTACATGAACAGCGTGTGCTGAGCTGATCTTACTCTATCCAGACACTTTTGGGGTATGCTTTTTCCTTTTCACCAAGATTAATTGCTCTGCTAGGCAAATGCAAGTTTTCTGATTGTCACCCGGCAACACAGGGCTTACAATTTAATAACTATGGGTTGGATCTTACTCTCATTAAAAGTCAATCACAAAATATCCATTAACTTCAAAAGCAGCAGGAACAAGCCCTAATTTTCCATCTGTGCTGAGTACATTAAAATTATTTCAGGCCTTAGCTAAAATTTCAAATAATTGCAGGCACCCTTATTTTGTATAATTTACATCATGTAAAATAATGAAAATGGAATTCTCTCTGTGGCTCCTACTCAAATATGTGTTATATGGTCCTTTAAAAAACATGAAAGGCCTGGTCTCTCACCCTCCCTTATAGACTCTGGCTTTGGCAGAATTATCCTCTTCTCCATGACAAAGATGGCAAAGATGCAATGAGTAATATGTACATTTGAAGCTTGTGGACATAACAAGAAAAAAAAAATCTAAATACTAATTATCATAACAGAGCTCCTACCAGACTTCAAGGGGAAGATCAATTTGCATGAGCAGTGTGCTATTTGAAAAACAGACCAGAACGAGTGAATTTTTTGAATTATGCATGACATCACTTCTAAACTTGCATAAAATTCAAATAAAGCCACACAATTTTAAAAGCTGGGCAAAATGTTTGAAGGTAACCTAAGCAAACTCACATCACAGTTCCTAGATGGAACCCAGAAAGGAGCATTGTATTCTGTAAATTGAAATTTACTCCAGCCCAGCTCTGGATCACAGTAGCCCCATCCTCAGCTGAGTTAGTGTTTGTGCATCACAGTGCCACACGTGCTCGGGGTCTTGGCACTGGTGATGCCAGGGTAAGTCCTCCCAGCCAACCACACAGTATTCTGCGGGATGAAACTCCTTTTCCAGTTTCACTGTCAGTCTATCCTGGCCCAACACTCCTTCCCTGTCTCCAGTCTACGAATCAGTTCCACCCTTCCCACCGTTAGGGTGGCCCACAGGGGGAACAGCATCTCAGTGCCCTGTCAGGGGACTGATTCAGCCTATCCAGAGGTCACATCACACGAGTTCACAGAAAGGCAGAACCCACAACCAGCACATCTCAGCGCCAGGAAAACAAAAAAGGTCCTTTCTGAGACCTCCACAAATGGCAAAAAGCATTCTGAAATCCAAACACCTTCATACAGGGCTGCAGGTGGATGCTTCAAAAGCATGCCTTTGACTCCTTGGAAAGCAGTGCAGAACCGCAGCAGGCTTTGGGGTGAACATAAAGAGAGAAAAATGAGAGGAAAAACACCATCAAGGGCCCAAGGCTATTCCCTGGGCAATCCCCGAATGATGGAATGAGCACTCAGACAGAGAGCCAGTGTAGCACTGCCTGTCTCATCAATCACAGCCCTTATGTAACACAGCCAGCACTTGTTTTTCTTACTATGAGAGCCTCTCATACTCACCAGGAGCAGTTCTTACTTGGGCTACAGTAAGATGCTATTCTTTTCTTGCTCCTCTATCCTCTCCGCCTCCCCCCTTTCTCTTTTTTTTTTCTTTAGTTGTACTGCAACCCAAAAGCTTGCTCAGAGAATTTTCCATGCCTTGGTACAAGAAGTCTCACTGAAACCAGAAACAGCAGTATTTTAACATCAAGATTTCTGAAGAAACTGTTTTTAGGAAGTGGTCATTTATTTCCCAGCTTTCTCCCTGCTCACTTGGCTGCCTGTACAGGTGAGGGGATGCAGCCTCACAAGCTCTGCCTCACTCATGCAGGTCTGCCAGATGGCACAGGGATATCAGCACTTCTGCAGCTTCCCTGCTCCATCCCACTCATCCTTGAGTTGTAGCTGTTCAACAGAAAGCCTGGAAACCAAAGGGGTTCCCACCTGAAGGGCTCTCTCAAAAGTTACTTGCCTGGAAAACTTAAATACCAAAAGCCTTGCTAGAGCTTGGCCTCCCCTGGGGGATCAGAGAAACCCTGGAGGCTGCTGAACCATGGCAGCCCAGGGCTACTGGCATTTCCAGTTTTCCTGGAGAATAGCCATAAGTCTGACAACAACTGCCACCCTACAGCCTCTGCAGAAATTAGGGACCAACACAGGGACCAGGTGAGTCCTGTTAAATGAAACCACTCCATTCCCATTTTGTTTGGGGAATGGGAAAGATGGGGAACTTTCAGGAATTTTTCTTGGCAGAAAACTTAACCCCAAGGTGTAGTTCCCACACTGAGATGGAATGCAGCCTTCTCTGAAGCACTGACCTTCCCACTGCCTAAGAGTGCCTTGTTTCAGCCTCCTCCCTGTGTAACAGGCAGCTGAAGGAAACACCACCCCCTGTTCAGGTAAGTGCACACAGCTTGCAATCCACACCAGTTTTGCTGATTGCCTTTGAGAAGGCAATTGGCAGGAGCAGCTTTTTGTAATCATAGGTATTGTTCCATACTGGCTTTCCTACTCTCTGCTAAAAAAAGGCAATTCTCTTTTATTTGTTCCCAGGACCTGCATATAACTTTTATCTATCGAAGATGCAAATTGTGTTACTCTCTTATCCAAACCCAGCTACACACAATGACCAGAGCAGCATTCACTGTAATCACTGGAAACAGTATTAGAAATTCATGTTCTGGGAATAAAATGTAAAGGTTTCCTTCTGTGCAGATGGCATTCCATGTACTGAATTGATCCTGATGTTCATGAATCATGCACGATAAACACCTCTTGAAATTGAAATCCTTGATTCACAGGCCAAGTACAGCTTAGCCAAGACAGCATTCCCCATTCTTCTCACTGCAAACCTCTTCACCAAGTCTATTCTTCCATTTCCATCAAATCCCACAAAACCTTTCCTTTACTGTTTTGGTGGTTATCCTAAAATGAAAGTACTCCCTTAAAAAAAAAAACAAAACCCACATATATATGCTTGTAGGTCGTATTTTTGTGGATTGCTGCTCTCACATTGCCTGTTCTGTTCTTCTCTGCCACATATCTGTTTATGAGCATCCCTTGTTAGATTACCCTGAATTTAGATTTCTATGTTTAACAGGGACTGGACTGAAAAGTTTTTCATATCTCAGTAGTTTTTAATCCATATTTAGAAAAATTAAAACTATCCTGTTTTTAGCTGCCCCACACTCACCAGAACAGATTTCTTAAAAAACTCAGCACAGTTCAGAGGTATTGAGACCTTTAAACTCCAATGAAGCTAATGACAGAGCTATATCAATCTGCAGACTCTAAGTTAAAACAGAAGTAACAACAAGCTGCACTAGAAACAATCAATCTTGCTTCTTCCTACGAGACAGAAATAATCCTTTACGTATCCTACACACACACATCTGATACACCGAGAGAGCCTGCCCAGGGTCACCTCTGCAGCAGTGTGCCAATCTCCTCCTAAAGACCAGAGAGCTTTTAGTCTATGAGTTAGGCAGATACAGCGTTCCAAAGCATGGTTAATTTTACCACTAACCTAGCAAAAACAGTGGAAGAGAGTGAAATTCAAATTTAGTGGGGGTAGCAGACGTGTTCTGTCCAAATCCAGCTATGATTGCTGGCAGCTGCCAAACCTGAATACTTAACCTTTGCCATGTCCACAGCAGAGAAGGCAGAAAACAAGGCAGGACATCATTCCCTGGCAGCAGTGTCCCAGGCTGTTGCATGAGTCAGTGCTGTGGTCCCAGTGCCAGAGGCCCGTGTGAGCAGAGACAGGGACATTGAACTGCCAAAATGGGGCCCTGCCAAAGCTGGCTGACAGCAGAGGGATGGGGCAAGCTGGTGGTGGCCCTTGAGGGGAGTCACTGACACAGTGACCCTCAAACTGAAAGTGGTAACTCCAGCATATGTGATTCAAAGTCCCTTGCCCTGGCTGGGTGGCAGGAGTGTCTTTTGCAAGGGCAGTTAAGGCAGTTAAAGTAAATAAAGTGTGTGTGTGATGCCAGGGACTATGTGTTAATACTCATTTACTCCATGTTTAAAGTTTCTTATTTGAGAGTAAAGTCATCTACTTTTTTCTTTTTTTTTCTTGTAATATAATCAAACTAAAACATGGACAGAGCTAAGATTTGATCACTGTGGTAAATCCAAGTACCATTCTTTAACAGATTTAGCCCTTGTGCATAGCAGGCTTTCTAAGGAGCTACCCTGGTGTTAAGCAGGAATAAATAGCATAGTGAACAATGGTTTAGTACCAAGCAAACTCAAAATGCCAAACTGCTGAAGAGGACAGGGGAACTTTGCTGTGGTTACTGTTTTATTCATGCACACTCTGGTTCTTACCTGTCCTCCTTTCATCATATTCCTTTCGAAATTACCAGTTACTTTATTATCTGCCCATACACAGGCATCCCACCAGCAGAGCCACTAGGTAGGCCTAACTATATGATACTAAACTCACCAAGCTCCTCTTTACAAGAAAACCATGCAATTCTTTCCTAGCATAAAGAATGCCAGAAAAAGAGAAGGCAGGCTTCCTAATTAAAAATTCTTTCTGAGATGCAGTGTCTCAATTGCACAGACAATCACTGTAGGGCAAAAGCAGTTCTTTGTCCAAGATAATTATATGCTTGGTCATTCTGCTAAACCTTCCTTTGAGAGCACAAATTAATATGATTTACAATGTTGCCTGCTAAAAGCTGTGGTGAAACCAACCAGTTCGTTTCATATAAAGCACCCAAATTGCCTTTGGATGGCCACTGTCTCTACTAACCTAATCCTGACTGGAAACAAACCTTGGAGCCAAAGGTGCTCTAGATGGCAAATAGCTGTGCCCTGAGCATCCCTGGGATGTACTGCTGCTGCTTCAGTCCCCCCACAGAGCACCAAGGCTGTCATGCACCTCGAGACAAAGAGCAGAGACCTGGCTCACCTGCCAACAACTCTGTGCACAGAAAAGCAGGGCCAAACCAGCACCTCAGCATGCAAAAATTGTAAAGCAGTGCCCTCAAATTTAGTAAGAACTAAATCTTATCCTTAGGACACACCTTCACCGGTCGCTGGGTGAGTTGAAACCCCTTTTTTAGCCTTTTGCAGAACCATGAAGGATCAGGGTAGAAACTGTGACTTTCGATAGTTATCAGAGCTGAGTTGCTTGACCATCAGCTGAGTTACCTGCCACCAAGACTTTTTAATGCCTGACCCGAACACACTGTACCCTTCCCAGCACTGGAACAAGCACAGTTGCCACAGCACTCAACAGTCTAAACTATACATAAATGCATACCCATGGTAAAATTGGGTGTGCAGGTTCCCACTCCCATTTCACAGTTAGAATACAGCTCTGAGAAAGAGTGAGGCAATTCAGCACTGGGGGGAAAAGAAAAGAAATGGCAAGATATTTTTGAAACTTGGCACAGAGGAACTGAAGTTTCTGAACTGAGGATGTTCTTCCCGCTTGAAATGTAAAGGGGTTTAAAGAATGATGAAATTTGCATTCTTATCTTTATCCCTTTCTCTTTCTCCAAACAGCCCTAGCCATATAAATATAGAATACAACTGCCAGTGAGAGCCAGGAGTCAGAATGTTTTATACAAAAGGCAGCAAATGAATTAGCCTTTCCTACAGTTAATCAGAAGTGAAATGTGCTGTCTGATCCCAAGGGCTTACCTTGGTTGAAGTCTCACGACTGTTTCCTGGCACCTCAGAGCCACATTCTGTGTGTAGTCATTAGCTGAGGATCCAGGCTTCCCCTGCCACTCTGGGAGGCCTGGCAATGCACATTCCAGCTCCTGCACAAAGCACACCAAAAAAAGAAAAAAATTGAATGTGCCCTGTCAGTACCAATCAGGCTTAGCTGAACGATTCGCTTCGAGAAAGAAATTGCTCCATGAGACTGGATGCTGATCGTGGATCTTTGTTCTTTTTTTTTGGGTAGTAATCTGGAAACATGTGGAAAACACAAAACACATACTAGAAAATGTTCTAAACAAAATAGTATGTTCTTTCTCTGGAAAACAGTTTTTGAAACCAAAGCAGACTGTAACCCATTTTCTGTTTGTTAGTTAGATAACAGATGTCAGCTTCTGAGCTAAGAGGTACTATACACAGAGTTCATTTGAATTTATTTACTCATATGTCAGTAATTTTACTACTTGGCTATCACCAGAAAAATTCTGGCTGACAAAGGCAAATGCAGTTCACTTAAATAAGATTTGTAAGGTTTAACCACCTTCCTCTTTTCCTTCCCTAGAATATGTGTAGCTTTACAAATAGAGTATTACTGCGGAAGGAGGGAAAGGCATTGAGGGGAAAAAATGTCACATCACCCAACCTGCAACACAGAAAATAGAAAAGCCAATTCAGTCCAAAAAAATGAGTAAGGGAAGAGGAATGAGAAAGGTACCCATTTTACTCCAAGCTTTCAAAAAACAGTTGTAGGGCTGTGACGAGATGTGTTCAGCACATGTTAATTTTCCTGCCTATAAAATGGTCTGCAATATTTCCCTTGCATTGCAATGGGGTAAGTTAATGAAGTTCTTTGAAAATGTGATAATCAAAGTGGGACTTTTTTCCTGCTTCTTTATTAGCTTTTATAATCCAGTATTTTAGTCTAAGAGTTCATCAAATTAAAATACGATGTGCTTTGCAAAACAACAGTGTTCACTTCCCTGGTAAAGCAATGTGTCTGATTTTGCCTCAATTTCAAAGCTTAGTTGGATGCATGGAAATCAGAAGTTTGGGTGGGAATGTTCGGATGGCAACTCAGAGGGCAGAGAGAACATGGCAATTCAAGATGGTTTCTGCTAGAGGAAAGGGAAGGCTGAGGACAAGAGTATTTGCTGGCAATAAACGCTTGCAGGCTTGATGTTTGAGGACTTGGGTGGTTTGGGGTTGTTAATTTCTTTTCGGTTTTTCTTTTTTATGTCTCTGTTACTGCTCACAAGTCGTGTCATTAGGGTGTTAAGAAGTAACCCTAGGGAAACACCCTTGATGGAACCTCCATTTCTAAAGAGCAGTGAAATCCATTCCTGATGCGTCAAAGGCATCCAACAGTAGAGTACTGTCTTCTATTTTATTTTTGTTTCTTTTTCACTAGAAAGGGTGAAGCTTCTACAATGAAGTTGCATCTGCTAAGCAGTCTGTGAAGAGGGAAATCTCCAGGCATTGCTGAGAAGTCTCAGTGCTGCATAATCACCACCATGATATCTGCTTTGTACACAAAGCACTATGTGGTTTGGAAGCAGCCAAAAATTAACATCATGGATACACATATGTTGGGATAAACACACTTTTGTTTCACAAGTTAAATTTTTTTTTTAAATCTAATTCCCCCTAAAAAATCACAGCGTGTCATAACCCATCTCTGTCAGGGCCTGACCTGAATTACAGTACATGCATACTTGCTGTAATTACAGAGCAGTTTAATCTGTCCTTGAACTCCAGAAAGTGCCTTGCATCCTTTATTCAAAACACAAACACTTTCATTTCTCTGCAAATGGAAGCACCATGCAAATATTGAACCAGCACTTGGAAGCACAGCCTTGGTTACCTCGTGTTGCTGTGTCAACATAGAAAACAGCCAGAAATGAATCCTGGGCAGAAGTGCCTCCTACACCTCCTGAAAATTCCAGTCCATACAAGAAAATCGGCAGGTACATTTAATGGACAGTGAATTGAAGAGATTTAACCCGTGATGGGAGCCATGGCCTAGACATAAACAGAGTATACCTGGAAACTGAGCAGAACTTGCAGGCTGCCTGACACATTTGTGAGTTTGTGTAGCTGATGTGTCAACATCAGCTCTGGTTTTTGGATTCCTGTGCACTTAAAAACACAATTTTGTTGTCAAACTATTGGAAGCTCTTTGACATCCAAGCAATTTGCCCCTTAATTTATACTCAAAATACTTTCACTCTACAGTCTTCAGCATTTCCAGCTCTAGGTATTGATTGTCAAGCCACCATTTCATTTTTATAGTCCTTTACCTTGATAGCAAAACTTTAAAACTGAACTTTTACTGTCTCTACCTATTAGCTAGCATTTTTAGTGTCCTTTTATAAATATGTCTCAGTATCAATAAGGAATTTGAGGATGACTCATTTAATAATCTATATTCATGACTGTGCATCAAAGGTGAGTGACAGGAGAAAGGACTGGGCAAGGAAGGCAGACTTTTTATTCCTCACCATCTGTTCTCGCAGTGACTCCCTGGAGTATGTTCTGGGCATATGCTTCTTCACCTCTTGAAGTCAAATAAATCCTAATTAATTTGATTTTCTATAGATTAATTTTGCAGAATTGCTAAAGAAACTCATGAAACCACAGGAAAGAAGAAACCAAATAGCTGTGCAATAGGAGTGCAGCAGTGTAATCACATTCCAGCAGCCTGCCTCTCTCCCCATACTTTGTTTGGAAAGGTTACAGCTGCTTCCATACCCAGCTCTGCCCCCAGAGAAATAACTGCACGCCATATGCAAAGCACAGTTTTACTCTAGTGACATTTTATCATCTGACAAGTGGTCAAGTGAAGCCACCTGATACTGCTCTTTTATTGCACTTGGTTTTGTTAATCACCAGTGTAAATTTAATAACCTTATCTTCATGAAGACCTAGGGTACATGACCACAGTACTGCACTTGTGCCAAAAAAAAATCAGAGGCACAGGAATTGCACTTCAGCAGACTGAGAGCCTTGTGAAGCTCAAAATCCCCAAGTTGGCCACCTTTCCTCTACTCGACCACAGTGGTCTGTTCCCTCTCAGTGACCTTTCTACAGTGGAAATCCCTTGGATTCTCTCTACTAGAAAAGCACATAAAAATGGTTCCCATCCAAACAGACTTTAATCCTTCCAACACATGCAGCAAACTTACTTATCTCCCAAGAGCCTATTCTAATTTTAAAGGCACAGTTCTCTAAAGAAACATCTCATGGGATTATAATACACAGGAGCAAATAGAAAACAGTTCCTTGGCTTATCAGAGCAACACCTTTAAAAAAGACAGTGTCACTGCAACATTGTCAGTGTTTCTGATGTCACAGAGAAGTCAGGTTGGGGAAGTGAGGACACTGTTGAAAAAGGCACTCCATCAATAAACTCGGGAAAATGAGGATGAACTGTTTCATCATGATGTGCAGTGCATCATGCTTTCCTTTCATAAATGCAGGTACTCAGCAAATGCTGTTTCTCAGTTTGACATCAGCTCCTTGTAAGTACATCATTTATCCCATGGAGTGGCTTGGTGGCAAGCTGTGTCACCAAAGGAAGGTATATGCAGTTGCACAGTGTTTGAAAGCATCACCTGGCCCACTTCTAATAATAAAAACCTGCCATACACACATGAACAACAGCCACTAGAAACAACACAGCAGCACTTTGCTTTCAGCTTCAAAACAGAGAGAAGCAATTGCTGCCAGTTCCCAACTAGGGCTGTTAACACAGGGAGCTGAGACAGGGTTTGGGAGGTCACAACACAGCAAGGATCCCAATGAGAGCCCACACACAAAAACAAACCCTTCTTGGGGCTCTTCTGCAAGAAGAATCTTGTTTTTCTTGAGCACTGTTGATGAATCCAAGGCAGGTGCTTGCTTCCTTAAGAACAAAAGCCCCTGAGGTAGCTGAAGATGCAGCAAGTGAGCACTCAGGGTCAAGGAGCATGTGCATCCTTATTAATGAGAATAAAGGCTTGGTAGATGTTTTCTCCAAAACAGCTTCCTTCTGCAAACCATTCCCAGGAGCAAAGTCTTTCCATAACAGCACGTGCCACTGAACTCAGTTTGGATACAGGATATCCATCAAAAAGTGTCCCATGGTACTAGGATACCATTCCCACTATGAATGAGTGGAGTCACTGCTATGGAGGGATGTTTGCTTTGTGTTTATGCTGCATATTACACTCAAAGCTCTGCACTACTCTCATCCTCAAGTACTCCCATAAATCAGAGCTAAAATGGTTCCTACTCATCTTACATCTTCCATTATGCCAGGGATGGGAGCAAGCGGAGCGTGGGGGCCCAGGACCACTTTTGTCTTTCCTAATTCAAGCCCTTGAATCATGTGAAAATTATCTGCCTGACACTGTTTTTCCTTCCAGAGGCTGCACACCTAAGTTGCACTGGCATTTTATGGCAGTCTCAAAAAGTTTCCCAGGAAAGAATATCAACATTTTCAGATAACCACTTCAGACCACGTACAACACTACAGAGCAGTAAATCTGTGCTGTGTTGGCTTTCACTGGGTGAGAGATGCAGACAGGACACACACAGGGAGCAAGCAGACAGAGGGCTTGGAAGTAGCTGAAAGAACAACAGATGATCTATGAGACAGATCTTGCCCTGTTTACGACTTCTTCATGATTCCTATTCCTGATATGCCTCTACTTGCTCTTCATAGGTCAGAATTCCCACCATTTTTCTTTTCAGTTGATAAACATGTACACCTCATCTTCCTGAAGTCTAAATAATATCTCCTAGTAATGCAATACAGTTGCAAAAAAGCCAGTTATTGCTTATCTCTGGGATGAGCTCCAGAAGAACATGCAGGAAGATAAGGGGAAAGAGTTTGATATTCCTTCTGTAGGAGACTGTGATAATACCATTGGGATGCCATTTGCTTTTCATTTTCCTTCTGGGATTCAAAAGAATAGTTCTCACTTAGAAGGTAAGACATTCTGTCCAAAATTATGAAATCCCATTATAAACTTGAAAAAAATGGTCCAAAATAATTCCTACTTTATGACGGGTTTGAAGCCCTGCAGAAAGCGCTCTGCAAATTTCTATCCACAGACAAGAAGGGAGGAGAGACAAAATGTACCCAAATACATTATACATCAAAGAAGATATGTAAATACAGACATCTGTATTTACAGATATCAGGCTTTGTGCCTACTGCAGGCCAGCAAATCTCCCAGCATTAATATTAACTCTCTTGGATATGAGAATATTTCTAGCTGAGGAGTTAAATCTGCACAAGACCTCTACCCCTTACACCGCACATCAGACATGACTTGGGAAGCACCAGGGAAGAACAGAGGCATTATCAGCAGCTGCTGAGAGGTGGTAACTCTAGAGCTGACATAGCAAATGTACCTCCACAGACAGCAGCAGAAGCTTCTTCATTTCTAGTCATCTTTTATACCCTTCAGAAAAGTTATAGTTTCAACCTGGGAAGCTTGTGAGCAAGAGCTCTGCTACCAGAATCTGCATTGGAATAGACTTGTTATTTAAAGATGAGAAAAACAGAAATTAATATAAAGGGAAAGTATTAAAACTCTCTATTGGCAGCCAAAATACCAGCACAAGAGATCCACAATCAAACAAACAAAACAGAAAATGTCTAATCAAGCGCTGCAACTACCAAGTTTTTTATATTTGGTCCAAGGAAACACAGAAAATATAAAAAGATATATCTTCAGATATGTTGTGCACCCACTCATGACAGCGCTTGCAACATAGCCCTCTCTGCAATTCCCTGGCTGAAAGAAATTGTCTGTTGCTATAGGATGGTTCCAGGGCTGCAGGTCCCTGAAAATCATGGTAGATTATCCTGAGGTCTTGATCACATCATGAATTACCAGGGGGTCCCACTTTGCATTTCAAAAGTTATGTTTGCTCAGACACCTGGTAAGTTTAGTTCTTTACCTGACTTTCCTCATGGCTTTTTCCATTTTCTAGCTTTGCAATGGGCTTGGGTTTTCTCAGCTTTAAGTTGCCCATTTCAGGCTTTAGAGCACAGTCAATCACAGCCTGCTGCCTGTGCTGCTGAGCGTCTGGCAAAGGCAGCTGCCTTTCCTCTAAGACAGCACCGTTGTCCGGATAATTTTCTTTGTTATCATCATCTCTGTAAGAAAGTAAAATTGAAATGCATCAGGCAGGATTTCAGACACCTGTCAAAACATTAGGGAGGAAAAAGAGCAACAAGTGCTTAGCTATTCATGGCATATTGCTTTTACTAAGTTGAGTGGTCTACACATCAAACACTGCATATGTCAGTAACGTGAGTCTAAACTACTGTTAGCATTATTACACATTCAACTGCGGAGCTACTTAAATAAGACTAGTTTTAGAGGCACTCTTTGGCTTCAGCCCTGTAGTTCACATCCCCCAAATAAAATCTGAAGCTGTCCTTTTTATGCAGAAGGCCTTTCACCACCCAACGATTCACACTAAGTTGTAATCTCGCAAGAATGTCATTATATAGAACAGTTCCTCTCTACAGTCTCACTTCCCTTCTGACAGGCTCTGGTTTTGAGGGCTTTTGAACAAAGTGAGGGAGGTAGCCATTCAGGTAGGGTCTGAACAGCCAGAGGTGTGTTTGGGTGGAAGGGACAAGTGCCGTGTGCTCCCAGTTTGGAGAAAACGTCCTCCTGTATAACAGCACACCTGGGGGTTTAAACAGACGCTGTTATTCAGGGATGCTCAGGTAACCACTGAATCTGGGACAGGCATTTTCAATCTCCACCCAGCCTGCAATGTGCAAGCTGTCCCAAGAAGACCTTGCTAGTCCTATCCACGCCCAGTCATTCCAGCTTTAGACTGGCCTAATGCCTTCCCCTGGTGGTGTCTCCCTGGCACCATTAGGAAAGTTTCCGCAGTGCAGGATGCTGGGCTGCCTGATCAGCTGGCAGGATGAGCAGGTCGGCATTACTGCTCCAAAATCCCTGGCTGTAGCTTAGTTTGCAGGTGGAATTTCAGATGTTAGCTTCAGCTGGTAAAATCCTAATGGAGAGATGACCTCTCTTCTGGTATGAAACTTTCCCAGCTGAGGGAGTGAAGGACTATTGAATTAAATCCCCCTGAGGTTTTTTTTTGGTTTGTTTTTTTTTAGAAAGCGTAACTTTCTAGTTCAATGTTTTCTCCCAAGGATTCTGAGCTGCCAAACTCGCTTCCCATCTGTGGCCCATCACCATCCAGATGGATGCTCACAGGGTGCCTGTGGAGCTGAACACCATTGCTGCCCATGCCTTCTGCAAGTGTGCTCCAAGGCAGTTGTTATAGTTACAGCGTAGGGTGCTTTATAGCCCACGGGCATCTCAACAATGTGCACAAGTGCTGCTAATTTTAAGGTATGATCTGACTTTAAAATCTTTCTGAAAGGTTAAGTTGCACACTCTAGCAATCAACATATACTAACATAGCCATGAGAGAGATAGATGTGCCTCAAGAATACTTCAGGTAAATTACAATTTGAAGGATTTTTTTTTCACAGAGACACTCATCAATAAGCATATCCTTGCACAGTTGCAAAACTCCACTTACCACTACTTTGAACAGCTGCTGTACAGTAAAATTATTATTAGCAACCAAAGCTGCATCTGAATGACAGTAACACAATGTGAAGTTAAGAATACAGACCACAATATATTTACTTACATAATAACATCAGTAATTAATCTTAATATTGATTACACAAAAGTATACAAGACAAATATGCATTTCCCAGAAATACTAATGGCCTTTGCAGGTAATACCCCAGAAATTCTTCATTCCCTTGAGAATAAAGGTTCCTTTCTAATGCTTTAACAGAAGCACTCTGGCAGCTCCTTTTGCTGCCAATGGATTTCAGACAGAGTAGGATACCTGGGACTGGAACTGCCTGCTTGATCTTCATGGACAGAGTCTGAATCCCCGTCACACCTTGAAAATGAATACAAGATAATTGCTGACTTTCTGCCAGCTGCAGAAGCTTAGCTTTTAAATAACATGACAGTGCAGCTCAAAGTATAAACACATTTCTTCTTCTCACACCTTAGTTAGAGTCACTTAATGCCATAGCTGCTCCATGATAGTCTAAACCTCAGAGGAAGAGGAGGATTTGAGATGTTAAGTGTGCACAATTCGGTTTACCATTTTCAGACAGATGAAAATAATCACAAGGGATTCAGATGTTACCATAAAAATACAGGAAAATTACAAGAAATTCTGTATTTTAATTGCATATAGTATACTTCACTTTAAAACCAAAAATTACTAGATACAATTATCTAAAGGTGTTTTTCTCCTAAACTCACAAAAATATAAACTATGATAGAGCAGTCATTCTTCATGCAGCAACAAAAAGAATCCCCAACTAAGTTATAAAGTGATCATTTAATCTTGAAGAAGTGAACTAGCAGAATTTTTTAAGATGCCTGAAGAATCGTAGTCATTTACATCTCCTTAAGTTACAAACAACAGAATTGTCCTAAGGCTGCCTAACCAGAAGAGAAATCTGGATAAATATGCTAAACAACAGCCACTCAGAGCTGAACATTGCACTGTGGCTGCATGGCTGAACCTCACAGGGTGATACACCTGCAAAGCCTAGGAGCAGTCTGCCCTCAAATAAACATGCATATATATGCATACACCCCTAAAATATGCATACCCTGCCTGGTACTCTTTCTGGGGAAAAGTCAGGGGTCTCTCCTCACCCTCAGTTCATACTCACAGGGCACAGACACTAAGCAGGCCTGGATCTCTTGGAGTTTGCTGGCAGAGGAGTCTCTTCATTATGGGGGAAGCAGCCTGTACTTTCGCTGACTTCTTAAATTTTGAGCAGAGCTGCCCCGCTCAGAACAGAGCACATTAGGTGATACATCCATAGCTCTGCGTTGCAATTTGATGGCAAGGTTTTTAATACATTCCTCTTTCCCACCAGTCTCGTGCTGGTGTCTATATCAAAAGTCAGACTGCAGCAGAAAATATTTAAAGGGACACTCAAGTGTTTACACTTCCTGAATACATCAGCATATGGATGAAAGCGTTTGCTGCTGGCAACTGGAACACAGAGCTACAGTTGCAGATCCCCCTTAATCACACAACATTCCTGCAGCCAGTGCAGTTCTCCCCATAAGGCAAAGTGGGATGATGGATGGGAGATAGGGGCAGATGTACAAAATGGATAAATTCACTGAAGAAATCTGGTTTCCTTTGCCTCTGGATGCCAGTCGCATCTTCCCCTCTGGTCTGTCACTGACCACCTGATGGGTGTCTGGCACCAGCAAGGTGTGAGTGTGGACATACTGGGGGCATGAAGAAGGAAACCCAGTGTGAAAGGAACCAGGAACCTGGATGGACAACATGATGGAATGTTTCACAGGGAGTAAAAAACAGAAAGGAAATACACTGTGAGGAGACAGTGCCAAGGTCAGAGTAGGATGGACAGGGCTCCCAGCACAGACACAGGAGTAGGGTAAGATGCCACCAGACATGCTGTGCATCATGGGCCAAGCAACAGTCAGCAAAGGCCAGGGACCTCCTAAAGGGACAAACTCTTCCTCCTGTGTGTGCCTTGGAAAGAGGGGCTGGGAGGAAGCATCTCTGCCAGCAGTTCCACTCACCTCCTCCTCTCACAGTCACCGCACTTGGCAACCTTCGGTCCTGAAATACCATCTTGGCCATCAGGAACACTTTCTGGAGGGACAATGGATGACTGAACACAGGTCCACCCACCAAGCCTGTGTGTGCACACTTCTTCACTGAAGGAAGTGCCCCGGGGGTTACCTTCCTGAGCTGACTGTGCATAAGGTGATCTTGAGGAGCAGAGATGCTAACTCAGCATCCAGCGACTGACAGGAGTTATAAAACAAGACAACTTATAAACAACCTAAGTGAGCATGACAAAATGTATTTGAGCAACTGGATAGCAGTAGATGGGAAAGATAAGCAATAACAGAACAGAGAACAACATGCCCACCATGTAATTTTAAAAGATTGTGAGGAAGTTCAGAAGCAACACACTCTGAAATCGTTAACAGAAATTTATGTCTGTGTAAAAATAAATATTAACCAGGAATCTCACTCACACAAGGTTGTGTTGGAGGCTAGGACCATAGCAGGACCTTTAAAAAGATGAATTCTGATATAATGCAAATATCTATCAAAGAAATGAATCTTATGTGTCCATGGTGCCTGTCTGCACGTATCAAAACAGACATGCACACATTCCTCCCCTCTCCCCAGTAACTTGTAAATCTTGTTGTCCAACGTTGGCTGTATTTAACAGTGATATTCAAGAGTTTGGTAAGTTTGGTGATAGCTCGTGGCCATGTAGTAGAGAGAGTTCCCACCGACCAAAAACTGCAGCAACATCTCACTCATTCCTAAAACATCAGAGAATATGCCAGGATGGCTTCAAGCCATAAATCCATATGGGCTGAAGCTTACACTGGGCAGAAACCAGGCCTTTTGACAAAACAGTGGTGTGAATCCTTTTCCTTCAGTACCAATCTAACTACTAACTGATGGACACATCTCTCAAAATTAAGTACATCCAGTACCAGACCAGTAAGATCTTGTGGCATGGGCCAGAATCAGGTCAGAGGTGGGATCCCAGTCTAGCTGGACTGATGCTCTGATTCTGTACAGTACTGCCCCTGTATGTTTCTTCCAACTGGTTTAACAAGATTAAACCAGTATAACGAGATTGGTTTAATGAGATTAACTTCTTTAACTTCCATTTTCACCTTTCCACAGGAGCCATGGGAAAACTGCTCCCTTTTGCTGACTTGACCTTTGAGATGCTCACGTGAACAACTTCCAAACCAGGCTGCATCCATGGCCTGAAGGAAGCTTTGCACCCCCAGGCACTTGCCTTGTCTGAAGAAATGTTCCTGAAAGTACTGTATCACTGATTGTATATCATTTGGGAAGCCCTGATCTTGCCTTTAGCAATGCATTAACATTTAGCAATTGTTAGATGATGCACAGCAAGCTCTCTCTTTCTTCTTCTAAATAAAAGTAACCTATTTTCAGACATGGCCAGCACAAACAATGAGTGCTGAAATCAGTAAGAATTGTGTATCCTCAGCAGTTCTCAAACATGGGCTCTGGGGGCAGGCTCTAAACAGGACTTAGGAAAATTAACTCTGCAAACCAAGTTTGTTCATTTGGACAATGCTTTTCAGATGTCATTGTTCACTCGCTTTGTTTTCTAAAAGCACGTTTCTATTCCTATTTGGAAATATAAGATTAAAAATGAAAGCCACCAAAACAGAACCAACAACAGCTTAAATGAGGGAGACTCAGCCTTCAGGCAATGCCTGGCCCAGCCTGGCTCTGCCATTCTGCTGCCTCCCAGTCTGCATTCCTCTCCCTCTCCCCAGGGGCAGGGCTGGCACCACACACTCAGCTTTTATACCTTCTGGGCTCTTGGCTCAATATTAAGCCCCACAGAGAAAGACCATCACTTCTGGGTCCCAGAAACCTCATGGGCGAGACAGGCCTGGGGGCTGCTCCAGGGGAATCTCTAGAGGAAACAATGGATGTACTTGGGGACAGAGAAAAGGGGAGGAGAAAAAAAAATAAGAAAAATCTACTATCTGTAATCTGGCTATTTTTCTGTGACGGGGGAGCATCCCACAATTTTAGAGACCACAATTCATCTCTTAACTAATAGGAATATGGGAAGGCAACAAACAAAAAAACAAACAAACCAAAACTCAATGATTTATTAGCTTCTGTGCAATCTTTCCTTTTCTGCCACAATCACACAAAATGCATGACTAAGTTAAAATATTAAATCAAGCAAGGCAATGTAAGCAAATAAAGCAAAGCCATATAAGAGATGGAAATTCTTTGGATCACTATGGGATCTTACTTTTTCTGTAGTTATTAAAATAACACCTAGGGATGGCTCAGACGATTACAACTTGGCCTGCTTTCAGAACATATCCTGTCCCCACCACTTAGGCAAACAGCTCACTGTCCAACAAGGGTGTTTTAAATTATGAGCATTTTAGCAGTGTAATACTCACCTAATGCACAAACAAATCTATAAATCATTTCCCTCCTGAAAAACTGCTTGGCACCTTAACTGCTGAGGAATCTTCCCCAAAAGCTTTTGAAATAATAAAAAGCATGCAAAATAATATTGTAGAGAACACCAATATTGAAGTGGTTTAGACTAAAACAAGGCATGGACTATTTCATTTGTAATAGTTCCTAAAGCCTTTGCCTTTCTAACTTTCTAATGTTCTCCCTTGTTCTGTCCTGCTGTCTCTGTAAAACAACAAGAAAAATCAACTTACATATATATCCTTATGATCATGATATGTGCAAAAGGCCTTCTAATGAGTTTATGGAATTGATTATGAAGAAATTACATATTTGGTACTTGGCCTGTCTAAGTAATGTATAGGGTTTTTTTCCAAAACATTTGCAAATAATTCTTTTCTCTAATGATGCTTGTGGTAAGTACAGACCATGTGTCCTTAGAAAACTGACGTACTTGTGTTTGTCAGGATCCTCAGTGCCAGAAATGAGCAATATTTTGACAGGAGATTTATCCTACACTGAAAATCATGCATTTAAACATGTGTGATGTACACCAAGCATATATTCACCCCCAAAAAAAAGAAAATTCACTGCTAAATGGTCACGGAGCATTTAAAAGCAGCTGTTTCATGCAATCCTTCCCATAGTCACTAATATACTTAGGTTACAGAAAATTGAATCTAAATATATGACACATAGCTTGGGGCTTCTAACATACTACTTACAATTATTCTTCACAGCAACTAAACTCATCGTTCTTGTGTAAAAACAAGGACATCTTTAAAGTGTTCACTTACTCTGCTAAAGCTGTCGTGCTGAAGGAATTCTCCTGAATGCTGAAACAGAAACAAGAACACATCAGATAAATCAGCAAGGCAGGCAGGCTCCCTGTATCCTTCTCAGTTGTGGGAACACATGCAGCAACATGGCATTGCAAGGCACGTCTCTGTGTGTTGGCTCTGCATGCACGGCTGTACCTTGGGCTGCTCTGCACATGCTCATCATCAAGGAACCGCGGGGATTAGTCCTGCAACACTCACAAAGCCCAGCCAGCAGCGCCCTGAATTAACACAGGGATGCAGGTAGGCTGGGAGGCTCAGAAAGGGATCATGTTCTTTTATAACTGTAACTGCTGCTCATAAAGGCTTAGGTTTACGGACAAGTGTTTGGCGTTCTGTGCTTTAAATGTTTGCTTTACGTTATTGGCTCGTCAAACGCAGTGTTTTTTATTACTTAAATAAGGTTGCTCAGCTAAGGTCTCTGGAGGTTTTCTTCTTGTTTAGTGGTCTCTTGCACTGATCTCAGCTCATGGCCAAACCCCAGGGGGTTCCATAAAAAAATAACCTGCCAGAAAGGACAGTTCAAGTAGGAAAAGGTTATTAAGCTAACAGCAAGCAGTAGATTAAACCATTCCCGTGAAAGGAATAGGCTGCTGTGCTCCTGCAACAAAAATGTTTCTGACCTGATGTAATACGTCCAGTAGGGTCAGCTCAGGATATTGCAAACTGCTGGTTTTGAGGCAGCGGTGGAATTCCCCCCCGAACAACACCCCGCAAATCCAGTAAATGCACTCTTGGATCATCCTGGAATCTTATAGCAGCGGGGAAAAGAACAATAGTCTCACTGCTACATACCAGGGAAGGGATTTTGCTGTTGTTGTTGTTGTTTGGGTTGGAGGGGGGAGATGGCAATGCAAACAGCAACGTCTTATGAGCACTCCTGTTTGTGACAAAGGCATCTCGCAGGCGGCAGCATCAAGCGGAGCAGGGACAAAGAGAGGCGCGTCCTCCTCCTCCGCGCAGCAGCTTGTGTGGTGTTGACACATATTTCCCAGGCAGCAGCCGCAGCCAGGAATCACAGCCCTGACAATTGCCTTTCTTTCACCGACAGCGCTAACGGTGCATCTGATCTTCACCCCTTCCCAGCCTCCCCACCTGCTCGCACACACCGCCGGCTTTTTCCTTTCCCTTATTTGTACACATATGTCAACTCACACAATGGCCTGAATTACCTGGGGATCGGAATATCACAGCCACTCTAGTGCCCTACAGAGTAGCATGTTTTGTGAGAGAAGGGTGTACAGAAAAGCTAAATCCAATGGTTAGCAATCAAATCCTGCCTTAGAACTAAAATTTCAAATTTTTCCTCCTCCTCCAGTTTCTTGGGTCTGACCATACAAATATAGATTTCTTTATTGCTATTCTACTTGCAGGAGAGCAACTGAATGAAAGGTATGGTCCTAGTTGTTGTGGCAATCAAAAATTCAATTTACATGCTCAGTAAGTAGAGTTCCATTAAAAAAAAAATATTTTTAATGAATATACTCCAGAACGCTTAAGTGGTTGGCTCTTGATTTTCAGTGCTTAGGGTAGGTCTACAGCTAGCATTTCAAGTGGAGGAATCACTACTTTTTATCACAAAAATCATATTGATAAGAATCACAGCTTGGTTAGAGTAGAGCTTAAAGACGGACTGAGTATTTATCCCCACTCCCCTACCTATACCCACACAAGAAGGGGAAAGAACAGAGAATGCTCTTATAAATGTGACTTTTCCATTTCTAAGTGCAAAAGTTAAGACCAAATTCTCTGCAAATTCATGCCCTGTGCAAACATAGTACAGGGCTTTGGTGTTATTACTAGTAAGAGAATATGTCTGAGGACCAGTTTATAAAACAGGGATGCTTTGGACTGAGACCAAGTTTAAAATGTCACCGCTTTTCTATTGTTTGTCTGAAGTTTGGTGCTGTAGAGCTGTTGCCAAATCTCCTTTAGGGAAACACTTTACAGTTATTTCAGCTCACTCAAAAACTTTCACTTGTTTTAAAGAGGGTACTTGATCGGCGTTATTGGATAGTCTCTTCTTGTAAGGTTGTGAAACCATTCAACAACATAAAAATTTCACACAAAACAGAATAGCATTAATAAATACATGAAGGTAAAGGCCAGCCAGACTCAGGAACCTGTTTCAGAGCTCATGGCCCGAGCAGAGAGATGAAGCCATTCTGCTCCTGGGGGAACCCCAAGAGAGGAACCACAGTAGACCCACTGTACTTCCTTCTTTTCCTTGCAGAAGGAAGTAATTTGTCTTTAGTAGCAAACCCTTGTTTCAACAATGATGCCAGTTTGGGCCTATTGGCTGACCCCAGTTCCTTCCACCTGCTTCCTGCCCACATGCTCTGGGTGAGACTGGAGCAGGCAAAGAGCCTCTAGCCCTACAAGGGAGAGCCAAAGATGCCTGAACCTGCATCTCTGTTTCCTTCTAAGCCTCAGATTCGGGGAAAATATAACACTGCTATTACCTCCTTATTTTCAATAATGATGTTAAAGCCAATTAGGCTTGTAGTGTTACAAAACATCACTCTTTAACAGGTTGAAATTCTCATTGCCAGATATATTTCATCACCACATGCAGATGACATGCCAGGTCTCTCATCATCCTGAACTCTCAGTGAAAATAGTGCTACACCTACGTGTGAAGTAAGCTTTGGACTTTCCCACTAAGTAGCAGACATAAGGACTTTTTATTTTGAAGTCATTAGAAATAAACATTTCTGAAATTCTGAAAATAAAGGTTTTTTAATCAGTTTTTCCTTATTTATTCTGAACAGTTTCAGTGATTCATATTTTTGCAAATCTTATCTATGGAAAGATACTTTCTTTGTTGAAAAGCTTCCCATTTTATACCTAGTTTTGTTCTTACCCTCTTTTGCCAAATGTTGATCAAGCCAACATTATAAACATGACATAACAGCTCCCAGCTGACAACAAAAATGCAGAGTTCCCCAAAGCAAACATCCACACTCATTTTGGAGATGCCAGGTTTCAGAAATATATTGCTGTTCACTTCTGAAAATTTGACTAATACATTGCCTACTTATGACTGACAGATTGGCATAGAAATTCCATTCTTTTTTTCAGTTTGTATCGTCAAGAGAATCACTGCTAGGTCAAGAAGAAGAATGAAATAGGAATCAGCCTCCAGCTTGATTTTGCATGTAACAGAGACACACACTCAACATAAATATTACCTTCAGAAGCTTGGAACAACATTAACTGGCACTATAAACTCATATCAGGCAGTGAATGCCTTGCAAAGGCAGTCTAAGTCTGCAAAAGAAGAGAGACATAGTGAGGCAAAAGTGGGCAGAAATAGTTCTGGCTTCAGGAGAACAGGAGACAGTGCAACAATCAAGATCAAAAGGTCAGAAAAAAAAGAGGAATAGTGAATCTTGCCAAGCTAGAATTGTCTAAAAGGCCACACACACATGCACCTCTGCAGGCTTTGAGGCTTTGTGGGTTCACCTGCAGAACAGAACCTTTGCCTCAGTTTCCAGAATCTGTTCACCTTAGTAAATCTTAAGGGCATTTCTGACTCAGATAAATGATGAGGCCTTTCAGCCTTAACTACAAATAATGAAGAATTTGTACTGGGAAATAAACCATATTTTTAAAGTGGAGATTAGATGTTTACAAAGAACTCTAAACTCTGTAAGGTTCTGTGAAAGTTAGTATTTCTGCATTTAACATCTGCTATCTAATGACAAACTCAATGTAATCCTATAGGGTGTGATTAGCATTCATTGCAAGACTATTTTCTTTATTATTATTTGTTATTCCACAGAGTCCAAAGTGCTTGTGCTGAAATTGCTGCATCAGAGGCAATTACATTTTGCACTGCACTTGGGCCATACAAGGGAGCTGCTCTAGATGCTGTGGAGGGACGTGAGAGAGACACAGTATGACACACTGTGCATGATGAGGAGCCTGAGGCAACTCCCTCCAACTCTGGGAAGAAGTTACTCATGTTCCACTACCCAAATAAAGGGAAACTTGGAATGATCTCCCCCCTACTGTCTCTCTGGATGAAGTCAAGTCATCCCTGCCAGAACCAAATGAGCTCAGAGACTCATAAAAATATTGAGCAAATTTGTTTGTCTTGGAGTATGTGTGTTCCAGCCAAGAAACAATACCCTGAAGTGCTCCAGCAGTCCTTCGTCTCCCTCTCAAATTGCACCAAAAAGGAGTTGCACTGAGCCCTACACAGCATATGCTTTCGTGGACAAAAAGCATTCAACTCCACGAAGGGGCAGGTGTAACACGCTTGCCTATCAGGCCACACCGCTACTTCTGAGGTCACACTTGCCACTGAACACTTTTTTTTAGGCAGTAAAGCATTAACTCATCTCTGGCTTTAGCAAGTCCATTGTTTTCACACACACAGAGCTTTCCTGAGGGGTAAGAGCAGGAACCAATCTGCAGCAAAGTGTTGTTAGCGCTGTGGATCATTCCAGCACCTTGCCCTTTCTTCAAAAGTGATCCTGCAGGATACTTTTGCTATTTTCCAATCTGTAAGGCATAAACCAAGGAGCTACCATGTGAGAGAGAAGTCACATGGTTCTTTCCTGTAGTGATAAATACTGAATGCTACACGCTGTGGCTCAAAATATTCATGTGTTCACTGACTTGCTTCCTGGACGAGCAGCCTGCCTTTTTATGGGTAACATTCTCAGAGACATCAGGAAACATCTTGGGAGAAGCTAAACTAAAATACAGCAGTTACATGCAGGAGCCAGTTGGTGAGCACTCAGTCCAGTTTCTGTACCTTTGATTTTCTCAGTGACCTAATTAGGACGTATCTGAGTGAACGGGCCTGGGGGGAAAAGCGTTCAGCTGATCCTGCTGTACGTCTTAAAACAAACCGACAAGCTCCTGCAGGAGGAGACTCGAGCTGAGCGTAGGTGCAGACACAGCTGTCCTGATCCAATCCAGGGTGATTCCATAAGGTGCACTTCTGTTGGGTTGGATAAAGCTGTGTGCAACTGCACAGACCTTCAGGGTTATATATTATGGAGATATTTCAGAGAGGAATCAAACTGTACGTAATTCCTTGCTCGAGCCTTCTGAGCAGTGGGCCAATGAATCCCATACACACTCCTGTAGTACACCCAATTTTGCA